TCATGATCCTGGAGTCCCTGGATCGAGTCCCGCATCGGGCTCCCTGCTCGGCAGGGAGTCTGCTTCTCCCTCTGACCCTCCCCCCTCTCATGTGCTCTCTCTCTCAAATAAATAAATAAAATCTTTAAAAAAAAAAGGGAAGGGGGAGCACACCCAACTCATTGACCATTGTCTATGTGTTGAAAAGGAACAGATACAGTATTACTCATTGGGTCATAGATGTCTAATTTTGATTTTTTTTTTAAGATTTTATTTATGTATTTGATAGAGAGTAAGAGAGTACAAGCAAGGGGCAGTGGCAGAGCTAGAGGGAGAAGCAGGCTCCCCACTGAGCAGGGAGCCCAATGCAGGGCTCCATCCCAGGACCCTGGGATCACGACCTCTGAGACAAAGGCGGAAGCTTAACTGACTGAGCCATCCAGAAATCAAAATAATTCTGATTTCTTATCTCCCTTAAATACTACTTTAGTTTTGATGTTTTTAAAAACATGTCTCAGTTCTATGAACTTCAAAGCTTGCTAGTTTGCTCTTTGCTAGTGTGTGTGTATGTGATTAATTGGTCTTTGTTTTCTTTTGGTGTCTTTATTATTTACAAACTTTTTTTTTTTTTTTAAGATTTTATTTATTTGTTAGGCGGGTAGAGAGAGAGAGCACAGCAGGGGGAGTGGCAGGCAGAGCAGGCAGAGGGAGAAGCAGGCTCCCCGTCGAGCAAGGAGCCTGATGTGGGACTCAATCCCAGGACCCTGGGACTCGGACCAAGCTGAAGGCAGCCGCTTAACTGACTGAGCCACCCAGGCGTCCCTACAAACTTATTTTTATGCAAAAGCGGATAGCCAGATCTCTCTGATAAAGATTGTGAGACAACCAAAAAGATCAGAAATGAATCTGAAAAAAAAAAATGAAGACTATATAAAGTGGAGTGTTCTTGACTATTGTTTTGTCTGCACCTCTCTCCTCTTGAGTTTTTTTATTTTGGTCTAGATTCCCTATGTTGAAAACTCCTACCGAAGTCCCCTGCCCTGGCTTAAAGCAAGGGTGGAGGGAGCATTTATTTATTTGATATCTCTAAATCCAGGAATGGTGGTGGTCCTTGGAATTGTATTGTGCAGTAATTGAAAACACTTAAGAAGCCTTTGTTCCTCATTTTTATCCCAAATTGTTACTGGATTAGGTCTGTTTTAACATGTTAAACCTTTACACTACTGAATTTGGACAACCAGACCTGTCTGTTCCTCCAAACATGCCGTAGAGAGGGGCATAGATTTACTCTTTGCAGGAAGTGAGAGTCTGGGGATGGGTCCTCAAAAGTCTGTTTTGCTAATCCAAGAAATTTATATCTAAATGCTACAGGATTGTCTAAATGGACAAGTGCAACTACATGTTACTGCTAAAAACCAAAGCTTCATGTGGAACTGTGAATTTACATAGAATGAGAATAAGAAAGAATGTATGTAGTTGTTTTCTGGACCCTTTCCCATTTGTTCATGATCTGAAGGAAACCAGTCCCTTCAGTGGACATGAATGATCTCTTCATTGTGTTATATTAATTTGGTAGTTTCATTATTCGGTCTTTCCTTTCTTTCACCTATTGTTAGCCCTCTCCACCTTCTGCTTTTTTTCCTCCTGAAAAAAAATACAATGAATAAGGATTTTCAAACACTTAAACTAACAACAAAAGATGGCAACAAAAAAATGTAACCATTGGAATAGTTGTAGGATTCAGTTCTGTGTTGTACATTCTGTTAGTATTGTCTTAGTTCATTTTTTCCTTTCTGTAAAAATAGGATTAAAGGGTGCCTATCTGAATTAGTCAGAAGAGCATGTAACTCTTGATCTTGGGGTCTTGAGTTTGAACCCCACAATGGGTGTAAAGATTATTTTTTAAAAAAATAACTTAAAAATAGGGTTAATAATACTTATCTTGCAGACTTGTCTACAATATGCTACATGGTATAATTCCTGTGTAAAATTATTTTGGTACAAATGCTAGACAGTTTAAACTATGTATGACATTACTTCCAGACCTTTTCCAGTCATGATACATAGATAAAATTGAAATTATTCTATTTGTAGATCACAGTGTAGTAAACTGAAGATGCTTTGACCAGAAGTTGTTGCAGAGGCTCAGGTTATCCCAGGTCCCATCTACCCAGCTGCCTACAGGAACCAATAAATAATTTACCTGTAACCCATCCACAACATACCGGTTGGGAAAGTTTATAAATACAGTCTTGTATATGAATTACTTAGCAATCTTTGTCAGAGAAAAAAGTCTAAATTCTGCTTTGCGTTGTATTGGCCTTGTTATTAGGCAGACTCTTAACCACTTGGTGATATAGATGGCTACTTGCTCTAGACCTTCCCTCCTTATTCTCACAGTTGTCAATTCAATCAAGAATAAAAAGTCATTGCCTTTCTGCTATTAGATTAGAACATCATAGTTCCTACCAGGGTTCTGATTAGCCCATCTTGGGTTACATGCATACCCCTAAAACCAACATGACTAGATGGTGGAATCCTTTGGCCAGCACTTGTATATCTGCCACTGTGGTTAGGTAGGTTGTGTGTATGAAGGTGTGGCATGATAGTAGGGGAAGATTAACCCCACCAGAACCAACAGAATGGGTTCCCATACAAAAAAAGAAAAAGAAAAAAAGATCCTGCTGTCCAGCGGAAGGGAAGAAGTGAAAACATACAGGGTTAACTATTTTCACAGTCCACTGTAGTACCTGACACTCCTTCTGAAAGCATCATGGATTTCAGTGTAGAAGTACATGGTATTAGAAGTGAGTTCTTGGGGCGCCTCGGTGGCTCAGTCGGTTAAGCGTCTGCCTTCGGCTCGGGTCATGATCCCAGGGTCCTGGGATCGAGCCCCGCATCGGGCTCCTTGCCCTGCGGGAAGCCTGCTTCTCCCTCTCCCTCTGCTGTTCCCCCTGCTTGTGTTCCCTCTCTCTCTCTCTGTCAAATAAATAAATAAAATCTTTAAAAAAAAAAAAGTGAGTTCTTGATGAGCACTGGGTGTTATATGCAACCGATCAATTACTGAACTCTCCATCTGAAACTAATGTACTATATATGTTGGCTAGTTAAATATAAATTAGAAAAAAAATGAGTTATTTTGATAGAAATGGATAATTCACCATTTTATTTATTTACTTTTAAAGACTTTATTTATTTGACAGAGGGAGAGAGCACAAGCAGGGGGAGCAGCAGAAGGAGAGGGAGAAGCAGGCTCCCTACTGAGCAGGGAGCCCAGTGCGGGGCTAGATCCAGGACCCTGGGACTATGACCTGAACCGAAGGCAGACGCCCATCCATCTGAGCCACCCAGGCACCTCGATAATTCACCATTTTTAAAAAATTGTATTTCCTGATATTTTAACACTTGTCCAGTATGGTAGCCACTAACTAACTACATATGGCTATTTAAAAATTAATTAAAACTAAATGTGAAATTCACTTCTTCAGTTGCACAAGCTACTTTTCAGAGTGCTCACAAATGGCTGGTGGTTATCATATTGGATAATACAGATTATACATTTATATAATCACAGAAAGTTGTATGCAGTGCTGATCTAGACCAGTGAAGTTCCCCCCCCACCCCTTTATCCCCCACTTTGTTCTATCCTGCCTATCTTTCTAACAGGTTTTGTATGTTTTCTTCTGTGGCAGCGCTTTGGAATTTTCTACACACATTTTTTTGCTTCTAGGATGTTATGTCAGTCTGTTCCCATCATTTGTAGTGATGAGTTTCTTTGAATCTTTATTTTATAATGTAATTACTGAAGAAATGGAGGGTCTTGGTGGGGAAGGGAAAGGAGTTATTCTTAACCTAAGAGAAAGGGGTTGTGTGTGTGTGTGTGTGTGTGTGATAAATGGATTTTAACTAGATGGGAAAGTTGTCTGTGAAAGTGCCTTTGTCATAATCTTGTATAATCACATAACAGAAACTCTCTACCCTTTTTAGGAAAAGTTTTCATCAAATCAAACATCTCATTGCCTGGCTCCCTCCCTTTATTTTTTGCTTGGGGCAGGAGCAAAAGGCTATTTTGCAACAACACAATCTATAACCTCGCACCAATGAGAAAAGGTAGAGAAATTTAATTTTTCTCCCCATTTTTTCCTTACATACATGCACAGAGTTTTTTTGGGGGGGGGAAAGAAGCTTGGTAATAATTTGAAACCTTTTTGGAACCTGTTCTGGTTATTTTTCTAACAGAAAAATGTGTGATTAAGGTGTCTGTTTTTTATCTGTGGATGAAAATTGCCTGTTTAGATCTCCCACAATTCTTACAAACCTTGGGAGAGCAGGGATGGCATCCAACTTGCTCACTGTTGTACATCCAGCATCACAGTTGGTGTCTCTGGCACACACTAAGTACTTAATGAATATTTTTGAATAAAGATTTCCATTATTCAGAGACTAGTTCTTCCATGTCTGGGCTATTGTTTTCCTCCATTCTCCTGCTTAAGCATCTTTCTTCCCTTAGAAGTATGGAAAATAAATACATTTCTATGTAATATCATTTTTCAGATCCTCTTAAGCAGCCATGATAAGAAGTGGATGTGTGGAACAGGATCATTTTTACCCTCTCCCCAAAAAGTTTGTTGTTTTTTTTTTTTTTTGCTTTTGCTTTTTCCTATTGTACTTGATAGTAGTTTTCAAAATTTGTTGTTTGAAAAGCTTTCAGGCTTCCACTTTCTGCAGATTGGAACATGTAGCCATTTGAGACCATGCCTTGTACAGAGTTTATTCTGTGCCCTGCAACATGACCTTTATGCTCGGCTCACAGATTTCCTTTACTTTGTCTCCTATTTAGCAACTTTATTCTGTATTCTAGCCTAACCAGCTGAGCATTGAAATAAAATTTTGTATTTCTATTCCCCTAAGGTCTCACATATTATATATAAAAGCACAGTATTTTTGGATCCTGTAAATATGAATATTCGGAGCTGACCCTTTTCCCTCCCACCCTCTTCCTCCTCTCCCCCCCCTTCTAGGACTATCCTTTTAAGCGTAATCTCATTGCTCAATGAGCCCAACACCTTCTCCCCAGCCAATGTGGATGCTTCGGTTATGTTCAGGAAATGGAGGGACAGTAAAGGAAAAGACAAAGAATATGCTGAAATCATTAGGTAAGGTGTTTTGTTTTACCTTCCGTTTGATTACTTCAAGTCTTCATATAGAACTAAAGTATATCCTAGAACCATGGCTTTAAATCAGACTTAAAATATCCACTCCATTTCTCTCAATTAGATTTACTGTTTGGGAAGAGATTTCTACCTGAGCCTACTGAGTTTGTATGGCTTTTGAGAGAGCACACACTAGAAGATAATGCTGCAGCAGATCGTACTTCCTGGGAACCAAAACTTCCAGGTTCTGAACCAGTGAAGTTCTCAGACTCTGCCTCCGAATCATTTCAGGGACACTGTTCAGGATTTTCAGTATGTCCTTTAAGTATAGCAAACACCCAGAGTATTCTGGACATTCTAGATATTTTTGTTTTCCAAAAATTTTAATGAAGCCATATAGTTTATTGGCCCTTTTGACTAGAGCAGCAAGTATCTTCTAGGTATCATTATCAGCAACACTAGTATATGGTTTAACAGAGCCGTAGAAGCTTCCTCTCATTGGGAGACTTGGAATCTACCCCTAGCTCTGTCTCCCTTCATATGACCTTTTATCAGTTAATTTTTTGGGTCTTTGTGTTTTTTCCATCTGTATAAAGGGGGGAAAAGGTAGAAGGTATTGGGGCTGAACCATTCATCTCCCGATCATACCCTGAGTAGGACTTAAGGTTTTCTTAAGAGTACTCAAGAATTGATACTTGAATTGCAATAAATTCATTTCCTCTTATGTCCTTAAAATAGAGCCCCAAGGACAGTTCCAGCACATTCTGCATATGGTTTAGTAAGCACTACAATTTATACAAATAGTCCCTCTTTATAACTCTAGTCAGCACGATGCCATGGGATGTACAAAAAAAGGGAAAACTGCATAGAAATAAAGCTGAATAATATAGAGATCAGCAGTTTCCAACGTTTTCTGCCCACTAGAATCACCTTTAGACCCCCTTCCATATCCGTAGTCATTTAGTGAGATTATAAGCGTAAAATCTGGGCATCTATATTTTGTTTTTACCAGCCACCTAGGTGACTGATGTATACCAAAGACTGAAGATAATTAGTATAAATAATAAGGACCTAGAGATTTAGAGGAGCTGGAGTAGGTTGAAGATTGAAAGATGGAAGTGCTTTTCATAAAATAGGATTAGAGCCTGAGCCTGATGTTCCAGGAAGGGTAGTATTTAGTTAAAGTGAAGAGTTAATATCCCTCAGGCATTTGTATAGGGTTTATCTCATTCTTTAATTCTTTCCACATTTATTATGCACCAGCTTCACGTCAGGTACTGTTAGGTCATGAAGGCAGTGCTTTCTCCTTGAGTTCACACTTAAGAATGTGTAAACAAATGACCCTATAATAAGATGAGTGCATAAACAAGATACAGTGGAAGGAATATATAGTGCTGTGGAGTTCCTAGGAGAGGTAATGCCTCATAACCAAGACTTTTTCAAGTAGTAAGGGAAAGGAAAAAGCCCCTTCAGGGAGGAAACAGGCTTGCACACAGGCAGCTAACCGCATGGCATGATCAGAGAGAACTGTAAGCAGCTTTACGTTGCTTGAATATAAAGTCTCATTTTACAAGTAATGGGAAATTCAGAGAGCCATCAGATCTGTTTTTGTTGTGGGTTTTTTTTTAAAGGCATCAGATCTTAAAAGACATGTGAAGTTACAATAAGGCTTTCGTCCTTAGTCTTAGAAGTGATGGGGTATCAAAGATTTTAGGAAGGGAAGGGAAAATCATGTTTGAGTTCTGAAAGAATCCTAGTTGACCAGAGGAGACTGAGATAGGGAGGAGAAGCCAAGATGAAGACTAAACAGAGGCAGTGGCAGTGAGAAAACAGATTTGAAAATAGGGCTTTGGCATGAGGTTTAGGATTTTAGGAGGTAATACTCTTAGAAGAAAAATGGGAGAAGGTGGCCATAGAGGTCAAAAATGACAATTGCAGACTTGCCGAGTTAGGGTCCCTATGGAACATGAGGGTGGAGACATCCCAAAGGCTTATTGAACAGTGTAGGGCTCAGAAGGTAGAGGCTTGAGCCTGATAGTTTGAGCTGTCAGCATGAAGGGGAATGGTGGCAAAAACCATAGGAATGACTAAGATGGCCCAAGAAGAGACAGAGAGGGAAGAGATTCAAGCCAGGATGTATCAGCAACACCAGGATGTCAGGCTTGGCAAAGTAAGGCAGACAGCAAGATCAGTGGGGAACCATCTAATTAGAGGCAGCAGAAGGAAGATAAGGAGGGTGGCAGTTTGTTGTCTTATGGTCAGTTTTTGTACTTTTTGAAGGAAACTTCACCCTTCCATCCATCCAGTCAGTAATTTTGTGCACAGCTGTATGTGCCAGGCTGTATCCTAGGCATTAGGGAAATAGAAGACAGACAAGTTCTCCAATGAAGTTCACATTGGGGGGTGAAGGGGAGGAAACGGATAGAAAAGTTAACAAATGGGGAAAAATGAGTAGATAGTGGTTAAGTAGCATGATGTGAAGGAGTGACTAGGTGGCTGCTTTAACTTGGGTTGTCAGAACAGGCTCCTTCTAAGTTCAGATCTGAGTGACATAAGCAGCCAACCATGTGTAAAATCAGGAGAAGAGCAACTGAGCCACATAGAAAAGTAAGTGTGTTCAAGGTACTAAAAAAGAAAAGGACCAGGATGGCCTGTATATTTTGGGTGACAAGAATGAAGTGGGAGGCAGGTGTGTCATGCGACTTCGGAACCCTACCTAGGCTATTTGGAATCTAAGTGTAAATGGCAGGATTACTGAATTAAGAAGAGTTGTTGGGACTGCATTCAGTTTGGTGTGAGACAAGGCAAGGGAAAAAACAAATCTCTGAGGTCATTTCTGGTCCACTACTTTTAAATGCCCTTCAAAGGGTCATTATTAAGTGTTCTTCAAAACAGTACCTAATGGGCTGAGAACCTTTGGTGTAGTATCTGTTAGATGCTTTTAGGCAGGCACTGAAATGCAGAAACCTGAGTCATATTTGAATAAGGAATCTTGATTAAGAAAGGTCAGTTGTAAATCCATCTTCAAAACAGACTTACATAAAACTGTCTCCCTTCAGGAAACAGGTTTCAGCCACTAAAGCCGAAGCAGAAAAGGATGGAGTGAAGGTCCCCACAACCCTGGCGGAATACTGCATCAAAACTAAAGTGCCTTCCAATGACAACAGCTCAGATTTGCTTTATGACGACTTGTACGACGACGACATCGATGATGAAGATGAGGAGGAGGAAGATGCCGACTGCTACGATGATGATGATTCTGGGAACGAGGAGTCGTGACGTGCTCCTTCAGTGCCCCATACTGCCCTGCCGTCTCAGGCCAAAGGGAGGGGAGCAAGTGGGGACCTAGCAGTGGCCCCTCAGCAAAAACCTATCACAGGGGGTGGGAAAAACAAACACGGCTTCTGCTGACTCCCCTTATGGATCTCAGTTTGCTCCTTTTTATGGACCTCTTAACGGAGAGAAAGTAATCCTCCACAGAATGTCTGAATTCTTGCATTCTTTACCCTTCCATCACTGTATTGATTCTTTTTTTTTTTCTTCTTCTTCTTTAAACCCAAACTCTCGCCTCACTTCGTCTCTACAGAGTGTTCACAGCAAAACACGTTTGGTCTGTTTTTAGATTCTTGAAGAATTAAATAGTCTTTCATCAAGACGTTTAATGTGTTTAAAGCTGGGAACCCATTGGAAGTTCACAAGTGCTGCGTATGCTGAGTAGCAAAAGAAAATGGAAAAAAAAAATATAAAAAACCCCACAAAACAAACTTAAAAAAAAAAAAAAACAACAAATTTGCCAAGGTTTAGCTGCTCATTTAGTGTGTGTGCATTCGATCAGCCCCATGGTGGTGAATTTTGTTTCCTTTCCCTTCTTAAGGCTGGGATACAGTGGGCATCAGGGACTTTGTGCTAAGCCTGATGAAATGTGTTCCTAAGGGCACAGAGCCCCTTCAGCCTCCAGGAAATCATCCTAATCCAGGGGGCCTCAGCTACTCTGAGGAGAGAGATCAGATTTTGTTTTTTGAAATCGATTGGGATCTAAAGCCTGAAATAAATATTCATACTTTACATAGAACTGGGCACTTGATTGCTATTTATTTTAAAAGACAGAGTTGTTACCCTCCCTACCCCAAGGGAGTGGGGACAGTGTGGAGATTGTGTGTGTGTGCGTGTGTGTGCGTGTGTGTGTGTGTGGAGTCTTAGTGATGGGAACAAGGAGTTTAAAATCACTATGCCAATTTTGGTTGATGCTGCTGGGGGAAAAAAGTCAAAACTACTGGTGACCACTGTTGGGTGCGAAAACATCTGTTTTATGTGAACTTGGCCTTTCCCGCAAAGATTTTTTAAAAATACTCATGGTGAGAGTATAAGTAGCCAGTTTTAATTACTCAGTATTACTCCTAGGTGCATGTGTTAAGATTTTGGTTTTCATTGAGCTGCTTATGCCGATAGTGATAGCTGTGGATAGGAGACATGAGTGACCAGTTCCCGCTTTCCTCGTTGGATGTGACCTGGACTTTTCTCTCCTTTCATTCCATGTACTCTGGCTGTGGAGGGCAAGCAGAAGTTGTGCATGGAGCTTGCCCTGGGCTGCTTTGACTTTTTTGGCAGGGCCGAGGGAATTGGCTGCAGGCCATGTACGGGCAACGGCTAGATCTTCCAAATGTGCAGTGGCTGCAGCTTTGACTGCCCTGGTCTCAGTCACGTGTCACTTCAATCTTGAGATCCATCGGCCTTCAACCAGGGACTTCAGAACTTGGCGGTGATTTTTCTTTCTTTTGGGAGTGGGCCAGTTCATAGGAGGGCAGTATTCTTTCAGTGGGGAAAATGATAATGTAAAATTACAGACTTCGGAAGGAAAATAGGAAGAGACTGGTTATAATCCTCCTCCAGATCCCTGTGTACTGGTGTCAACTTCTTTTCTTCAGATCAAAGCTCGAAAGAACCAAAGGGTTGAGGGACGGGGGTAGGATGGATCCTAGAACAGAGTAGGTGATGCTTACTTCCTTAGCTCCTCCTTCCTTTCTGATCTCAGGGTTTTCATTCGCTCTTCAACCTCCGAACATTTGCTGACTGATGCCCAGCAGACCTCTCTGGCCTCTAAAGTTTGATTTGGTATTAAGTGGGAACATTAACATGCAGAGGTTCATATGGGACAGTATTGGGCCTGGTCGCAGAATCTCTGTCCAATCCCCATGGGGCCAGGACTACTTGCACCCCTGAATCTAGTGAATCCAGTCAGATTCCGAGAACAGAGCAGCTCTTTGTGAGAAAACACTGGCCGCAAATTCTCATAGAAGGATGTTGGAACTAGCTTTTTACACCTCACACTTCTTAAGTAATGCTTCCGGATAACCTGCATATCTTCTGGAGTCCAAAGTCTCTCCTAATGCTCTGATTACCCCCTATCACCCCCACACACGTTTACAGCCAGTAGCTTGGTCTTCTCTCTTGGAGCCCTAAGATTAAGGCTTTTCTTTCTTCCTTTACCACGAAAGCATCTCTCTGCCAGGGCAGGCCGGGCACCTTGGCGTTGCGGAAGGTGCTGTGCTGCTTAGCCCTGTCCCATTAGGTCCTGTTGGCCTCTGTTGCACATTGACTCAGGGAGCCAGAGAGCCAGGTGGAGGTCAGACCTCTCAGCCCTTTGGGGTGTTACTATTGAGGGCTGGCTTTGCCTCTGATAAGAGTACAATCAGTTCCAGAAAAGACTGGCATGTGTTTATTGGCTAGCAGGTAGACATTCTGATAACTCAGAATTAAATAACCTGTAAAACCCAGATGCTGGTTCCAGAGCTCTGTCCTGAGAACACATCCTGTGGCAAAAGAAAACTTGAGCATGTAATTTTTTTTTCTTTTGGGGAGTAGAGGTCTCAGGCTCAGGCCAGAACTTTGTAAGTACAGTTGTGCTGATTATCTGGTGTTAACATGAATTCAGAATCCCGCATTTTAATATTCCTTTTGATTCTAGTGCAGGCCTCTCTGGATGCTCTTCAGGTCTGTGTGTTTTGAGGCTGGGTGGAGAAAGTAGTATCACGATTCCGTTGTTGCTTCTCAAGAGTCTTCCCACTCTATTTCGTATCATTCCAGAGTTCTTTTCTATTAGCCAGACTTTTTTGTAGTCCCCTCTTTTCTCTTCCCTGGAAATTGCTTCTTTATTTGCTGGTTTCCTTATGTTTGCGACATACACAGTAAGAGACTGCAGGGGAAAATGTGTAGTTCTCCACTGAAAGTTAACTCCCCACCCCTCCCATTCTGATAAAAATGGTTTACATTTACAAAAAGATTCAGATGCAATTTTCAACTATTCTGAAACCAGCAGGACACACCTGACTTTAATAGTTTTCTTAGCTGAAATTGTAGATGTTTTTCTTCAGTTTAACTTATAAGAAAAGATTATCTGATGCATTTTTGTGTTGAACTTCCCCTTTAGTGGTTTATTTTGTCTTTTTCTGCCCATCTGTCTACTAATAAAATGTGAAATAAAATATACCTGTATTGCTACTTCCCCATGGGATGACCCTCTTTCTTTGTGTTAAAGAAAACTAAAAGGTGGTCTCAGTACTTCCACTGTTCCCTCACAGGTATTACGCCCATGACTCAGCTGAAAAAGTAAAAACCAAAACTGAATCTCACTGACCTGCCTTTTAGGATATTCTGCTCAACTCACCTCCTCACGGAATACACATTCCCAGTCCTTACTAGCTTTGAGGAAAGGTTGTTAAAGACACAGCCATTTGTTAACCTTAATTCCTAAGGGGCACAGTCTGCCAGTACAGTGGGTGAAGCTCTGAGGGTGCTCCACTGCCCTCCTCAGGTGAGCCTTTTGTTTTCATCGTCCGTTGTCTTTTTGAACTTCCGGCCGCTCGTTAATAAGCAGGGATCAGGCAAGAGATCGAATAAAGTCCCTGTTTAGTTTCACTTGTGAACACTTTTTTTCTGGCGGGGATCTCAAGCTGTGGGTCACCAGCAGCACGTGGCCCATCTGCTGAAAGGACCACTGATTCTAGAGGCCAAAAACAGAAAAGGTGAAGCCTGACCCCAGGTTGGTTGTGGCACACCGACGTGACCAGTATTTGACGCCCCACTCCGGGTGCTCAGTTAGCCTAGTCTGCGGGGTTATTGAGGAGCGAGAGGCTGTAATGCCTTGGGCAAAACCTGGAGCCTGGAGCGCAGTTGTGCTGCCGGCTAGTGGGGCCATCTGCCTCCGGCCACACACACGGCTAGCGGATGGCCCTGATGGCTCCCGGACTGGTGGCCTGGGAGCAGGAGGAAGCAGCTGCACTGGAATCCCGGCCCAGGCGAACGGCTGCCAGGGACTTTCTGGAGCAAGTACTTCACCCCGGATCCACTTACCTCCCTCACACCACCGTGACTCGCTAGTCTTCTCTTCCACCCCATCCCTTGACTAACCACCAAGATTCTGTTTGGTTGCTGAAGAACAAAGGACAGAGAGGGTGAGCTGTTCAAACTTCCTCTCAGGCCATGAGAAACACATCTCCGCTCTTAGACCTTTCAGATTTTAATGTCCGCTGACATTCAGAAATGAAAGGACCCTGCCCTGGTACTCCTGTTGACCGGGGCCTGTAAGAGATTGCCTTATCAAAGTGAACTTTGGGGCGCCTGGGTGGCTCAGTTGGTTGGGCGACTGCCTTCGGCTCAGGTCATGATCCTGGAGTCCCGGGATCGAGTCCCGCATCGGGCTCCCTGCTCCGCGGGGAGTCTGCTTCTCCCTCTGACCCTCCTCCCTCTCATGCTCTATCTCATTCTCTCTCTCAAATTAAAAAAAAAAAAAAAAAAAAGTGAACTTTGATAACCACTGCCCATGCCCTGTCAGCCGCCTCATTTACCTTTCCACTCCCTGGATGCTGACCGGGGCAAAGAAGGGATGCCAATTTAAGCCCTCACAACCCGTTGTCAGAAGACTGACCATGTGAGCTCTACTTGTACAGCTCTCCTGTGAAGTCCACGGGGCCTGGAACAATCACGAAGACAGCCTGTGCCCTGAGCTACCCTTCAGTCACACCACACAGACACCGTGCATGCTCTCAGAACTTTATTAGGTGGAGATTGGGCAAAAGAGAAAACCCCTGAAACAGTCGCCCACCTGGTTCAGGACAACTGGAATAGAGGAGCCTTTGCTTGGAGACGTGCTCTCACTGAGGTGAAGGCGTTATCTTTGATTTTTTTTTTTTTTTTAAAAGGGAGCACACTGACTGAACATCTCTGAGCACAACTTCAGACGGTTTTAAAAAACGGTCAGCCAGAGGAAGGCAAGTCTCTTGGGGACAAGACCAGCAGCAGAAGCCTCTGGTTTGTATGAAGACAAACAGGTGCCACTTTCATGTTGGGCAGGAAGGATAGCTCTGCTGTTCCCAGATGAAGATTTGGTAGGAGAGGGACATGACAAATGACAAAAGGACCGGTTTCTCAAAACGAGAGAGGGCTAAAGTAATTACACAGGGAAGGAAACTCAAATAATGGCTTACAAGGGAGCGAGAGAAGTCGTGATTCTTCATTGGTACCTGGCCCCAGTCCCCAAACTGCCTTAAAAGCAGCCCTTCCACACACTGCTCCCAGCTGCCCATGGGCTGGGAGGCTACAGAGAAGGCCTGAAGGCAGGAGTGGGAAAAGGGCTTATTTGCTACAGCGAGAAGGGGCCCGAGTCGGGATTGCAGACCTGGCTAAGAGTAGCAGCTGTACCCCCCATGCCCCCAAGACTTCTATCACATTTACAAATACATACATAAATACATTACATACAATAGCGAGTCTGGGAGGCAGGCTCCCCACAGAGGCTCGGCTGACACAGTTACACGTCTCAGGAATTCTAGGAAAGGGCACTGGGCTCCCAGAAATGGGCTCCGTGTGTTCTCTCCTGCCCAGGGTAAGCCCCGCCCGAGCCCACCCCTCTCTTCAAAGGTTCAGTTTGTCCAGTAGGGAGAGTTGCCGTAGGCGGGCTTGGAGGCTTGCGACTTGGGCTGCAGGGAGCTGGGCTGGCTGCGCTGACCCGAGCCACTCTGAGGAGGAGGAGGAGGAGGAGGAGGAGGAGGAGAGAAGGCTGTAAGGGCTGGAGCAGGACCCCGAGGCCAGGGCAGGGTGGCTGCCTCCATCACTGGGCTCACCTGGGCATCCTGTGGCAGGTGGTGGTGTAGCAGCTGTGAGTGAGGCTGCTGGTGGGCGGGGAGGATGTGCAAGAACGGTGGGGGCGCATAACCGGGGGCCGCTCCGGCGGCCAGGGGCCCGGTGGAACCCAAGGCCGAGGGCAGGCTGAACGGTGGAGGAGTCCCTGCGTGAAATCCCTGCTTGTCAAAAGTCTGCAAGGTAAAGAGACCGTGGTAAGGGGCCAGCTTGGGCGGCATCTCCCGCCGGCAGACCCATCCAACCGAATCCCCCCTCACCTGAGTCTTGTTGTAGACTGAGCCGCTCATGTCAGGTAAGCCGGTGGTGCTTGAAGACACGGACACGCCTAGGAGGGAAAGCAGTTGTTCCCAGGGCCGTTGGGCCCAGTTCCAGCCTCCCCCACCTCCAGGGGCGCTCTGGGGTAGCCTTGCCTGAGAAAGAGTCAGTAGAAGACAACTACTCTGGGCCTCAATCCTGGAAAGGAGGGGCAGACGCTACCTTTGCCAGGCCCAGAACCTGCAGACTTGTTTTGTGCCTGTGATGATCCACCATAGCCACCCTTGCTGTAGTCTCCCGCTGCTGTCCCCTGGGTCAGGTCATCATAACCTAGCGCGGCAGGGTACAAGAGGCACGTGTGAGCCGGGCAAGCCTTCCCGCCCGCGCCTCTCCGTGCTGGGCGCGCCCCTCACCTGCGCTGTAGCTATGCTGGCCGTAACCGCCGGCCTGCTGGAAGGGGGTGCTGGGGGTGCTGAGGTTCACACCATGCTGCTTGGCGGAGGCCGGAGGGACCTGGCGGCGCAAGCGGGAGAGGCGTCAGTGGAGGCACAGGGCGGAGGGGAGCAGGTCGGGTATCCCCCGGCTTCGCCCCCAGGCAGCACAACCACAAAGCACCTGCGTTCAGCAGTACGGCCCGCGCTGGCCGTGAAAACCCACGGGAAAGGAGCTCTGGCCCCAGCCTAACACACTGCTCACGGCCAGCTCCCTCCCTCCCTGCTTCTGGTCCCCAACTGGAGTGACACCCCCGCCCCCCCGACACTCACAAACATCGTGGGCCCATACTGGAAGGCACTAGGCACGCCTGTGTAGTAGGGGAGGCCAGTGTAGCTGTAGCCAGGGGGCAGCGCAGGATTCAGAAAGGGCTGCTGGGCTGTGTGGTGGGCCTGGGACTGGCTCTGCTGTGGCTGAGCCAGTGTGGTGGGGGGTGCAGGGGATGCAGAGTCACCTCGGCCAAACTTTGTGACATCACCTAGGAGAAGAGGAACACTTGACTCGAATCACTGCCCCCACCCCCTCCTTATCCAACAAGGAAAAAAGCCAGACGGGCTCCTGCCCACAGGGACAGGTCTGGCTGCCGGCTCAACAGGAAGCGAGCAGGCCTCGCTCAGCCCTTCGGCTTCTGTTTCCAGATGCCTGGGATGAGCTGCAGACCAGTCCCAGGCCCCCCCGCCCCCCACTCCTCTCCCCTGGAACAGACTCACCTGAATACGGGTTATTAGCTAGGCTCCCATCTCGGCCGGCCAGGGCTGTGGGCGTGGCGAAGGGAATCCCATAGTAATCCTAGGAGAGACCACGGAGGCTCCATCAGCAGAAAGGCCTCGGCCCAGCCGCAGGAGGGCAGGCCCCGCAGGCAGCCCAGGCACTCCAGGTGATGCCCCGCTCCGCGGACAGGCCGGACCGCAGGGACACAGGCACACCTCCAGAGGGCGGCCCCCGAACTCCAAGTGGTGCGCATCGCGGCTGTGCAGGGCGGCAGCCGCAGTGTGCAGACGCGCCGACAGGCCCGTCAGCCTTGGCCAGGCAGAGCCCCGGACGGCCCAAGCGCACGGTAATTTACGGCGCCGACGGGCGCTGGTAACGCCACAGGCCGCACCGACTCTATGGCTTGTCCTAGGTGACAGAGTCTAAAGGGTGGCTAGGAGAGCTGACTGGATTACAGCACCCTGAAAAGGAACCAGCAGGAGAGGGGGTGCGTGAGGGTTTAACAGACGTCAGCGCAGCAATGCCAGGCGGGCACAGGTCCAAGAGGACCCCAGGTAGGGTCCCCAACTGGCCCCTCACCACCCACGCTGTCGTGGCAGCACTGACCACGGAGGAGCCAGGGCGAGTGTGGACACCGAGAGCGCCAAACAGCGGAGCTCTGTGGGGCAGGGGAGGCCCGACCCGGCCCTCACTCACCACCCAGGGCTTTGCCAGCACTCGACCTATGGCCCCCTGGCCTCTGGGCCCCACAGGGAGCCTTCCTGCTTTCTTTGTGGGCCACAGTGCCTGGTCACAACCGGACAGGAGCCATCTGGGCTAGGGATGGCACCTCCACCCTCCTTCAGCCTTATCGCCAACTTAACCTCCAGGAAACCCATTAGCTTCCTCAGCCCCGAACCCCAGGAGGAGGCAGGACTAGGAAGTCGCAGCGGTAGCAAGAATACAACCGGGGACAGACCAAGAGCAAGCCCAGGAGGGGGAGCTCTTTCACAGAAAAAAGGAAAAAGCGGAGGCGGGGACTAGGCACAAAAGTACCAGACTCTAGTAAGTGAATAAAGGGTTGAAAATCGAACACAATGTATCTCAAAAGGTGGGCTCAGAGGTGATTTCTTCTAAGGCACAAAAGGATACAAAGACTACAAGGCAGGGTGACTCCCAGGGCTGGGATCCCACCGAGTCCCTGTTGGGGGCCCCCACCAGGAACCCCCTCTGACACTCCCATCTGATGCCTGGGGCTCTCAGGTCAGGTGGGTACAAGGTTTCCTCCTGAGAGTCAGGGGGCCAGGGCCACTTCCAGTTCCTCTTCTGCAAAGTCCTAAGGCTCAGGCATTCCCCAGAGACCCTAAGTTCTGTTGACCACCCCAGCAATCTGCCATCATGTCTTCAACATCCACTCTGGGTCCTTCGGGGACACGGGCGCAGCTGTGTGAGGGGCGGCCGGTGTGCACCCAGGGGGAAGAGCCGCCTAGCCACCCACCTCTGCCTCTGGAAATACTTCAGCAGCTGGAGAAGCATTCTCCTGAGAGACAAGAGCTTCAGCCAGCAGGCCCGGGAGGAGGAGGGGATACCTGCAGCCCCCTGAGCTCTCTGTGCGCAAGCACAGCAGGGGGCAGCCGATGGGAAAGAGTTAAGGAAGGACGCCACACTGGGGGAACACCTCACATGGAGCAGGGGCGTTCCGACAGCTCTCTACTTTCCAGCACCGCGACAGATGCCCCCGGAGTCTGCGAAAGGCCAGAGCAAGGAGGGCGGGGCAGCAGGCCTGTCAGGCAGGGGGCACACCTCCTTCAGCAGCCCCCCGCCCCCCTGCCCCCCCGTGCACCGAGGTGCCCCAGCCTGCGAGCCAGGGTCGGATGAAAGCTGCAGCAGCCCCGGCCTCAGGGTGAGGCCGCACAACGAGGGACTCCCTGGGGCCGGCGCGCTTGCAAGCCGTGATGGCAGGTGGGCTCCACAAGGATCCTTCAAGAGTGCCAGCTCCAGCGGGTCACCCAGCTGGGGACAGACGAGCCACGCTGCCATCACAAGCATCACTGATGGCCACTTCAGAGACCAAAGACACCAAACGGCACTTCACAGAAGACGACATGAAAAAAACTCTAGAGGTAGTCAGGCAACCCCACGTCTAGGTCATACGGTTTTCCTTTTTCAAAATGGGGAGGGGGGGCCTGAAGGAAGAAAAGGACCCACAGGTAGTAGGGGGCACTGTCTCCTGGGACCCCAGGTCCCAATGGTCTCCAAGTTCCCAAGCTGTAAGCACAGGACACTCCTGCCCAGCTACAGTGACATGAGGCACATCCCCCGAACGCCAGAAGCTTTCTCAGTAGGGTGGCAATGAGGGCCTAGAGAGGAAGAACCTGTGAGAGAGCCGGACTCCCCTCCGTCCCCCAGCACATCCCACTCACCATTGGCAGCCGTGACTGCAGCATCTGGAGCTCGTCATAGCCGTAGATCTGCGTGAGGACCAAAAAGGGTGTTAGGGACCATGTACCATCCCCTGGGAAGCCCAGGCCCACGTAGGGGCCTAAACAGGGTTGGGGAGATGGCACATGGGGACTCAGACCATCTGCTGTGGGAAGACACCTTGATGAAGTTCAGATGAGGGACAAGTACTAGGGAAGGAGCCGCCCGAGGCCCGCCTCACCAGGTCCTGCCAGGTGCCAGCCTCTAAGGCCGCAGGGGCCGGGCCGCCTGGAGCCACACCATGCCCTCACCGGATAGGCAGGAAGCAGTCCTCCAGGGCCCACGAGGTACTGATTGTGCAGCAGGGGCGGTACTCCCTGGGGCAGGTTAGGGGGTGCTTTGCCTGTAAGAGCAAAAATCAAATGAGTGAAGATGCCACCACAAAGAGTGAGATGCCTCAGTGGCTGTGGGGAAGGGGGAGCTGCGCTCCCGGTCACAGTGCTGCCCCATATGGGGCCACCACCAAGAGGGGAGGGCAGCAGCTGAGAGACACAGAAGGCTGTTCCAGGAAGTAGGGGAGACAAAGCACGTGACACCACATTCAGGCTCTTTCCACATCAGAGGGTTCCATGCACAGACAGAAACACCACCCCTCACCCACTCCTGTCACGCAGCACTGAGCAAACCTGAACATAAGGAACAATCTGCCTCCTCAGAACAGAACGAAGGCTGGGTGGTGCCAGCAGAGGGGGACAGGCCGTGTCAAAGGTAGCTTTCAGGAGTTTCTACCAAACCACAGTTTGCTTGGTCCACACAGACTGCCCAAGTCTGCCTGATGGACAATCAGTGACACTAAGTGGCCAGAAGAGGCCCAAGAGAGCTGTTCCCTGGTCCATCCACATCACCAGGCCATCTCAGCTCCAGGGAGGAGTGAGGACAGAAAAGACAGGGGACCTACAAGCACAAAGGCTACCAGGAATCCTGCCCAGGGGAAGCCCACCCAGAAGACTGGTTTCACCCATCCCCACATCATCGCTGGAAGGACTGGGACTCTCTAAGAAGTCAGTGGAACAAAATGGACCAGGGAGCAATGGCAGGGCTAGAGGGAGACCAACATGCTACCCAGCATGCCCTGCAGCCGCCTGTAGGCATCCTCCCTGGGAAGCCAAGCATCACCTTCTAGGGGCAGGGGACAGGTAGGAAATGTCTGGGGAGCACACACCTGAGGTCACCAAGGGCGTGGCCCTGGTACTGCTGCTGGGGGCACTCACAGTGGTCCCCCCCAGGCAGAGGCTGTTCACTGTGTTCATGCTGCTCGGCAGGCTGAGCCCTGAGGACGTGGCACCCGAGGCAGAGGTTGCTGCCGTTGAAAAGGTGGCTGAGGACTGGAGGGAAGGGGTGCTCTCCACACTGGCGTGCTGGCAAAACAAAAAAGCGAGGACACATGGATGTGGTGGCAAAACATAAGAGTGCAAAAGAACCTGGTCTGGCATCTGGGTCTGCACTCTGAAGACCAGTCTGAGGGGCTCTGTGCTCAGTGCTCACTGTGGGCCCCCACACGGCAGCTAGATGAGGCCGTTAGGACACAGCTCCTAAGCTGAGTATCACACAGTTAAAGCTGAGCTTTATTGACCAACACCCTCTTAAAAATCGTTGCTCAAGCTCTGCTATCTTATATAAGATACAGACACCCAGGTAAACCTTAGGTCAGATATGAACCCAGACCATCGGCATGTGAGGTGAGAACCCACCTCACAGAAAAGCAAGCAGGCTCAGGAGCAGTCGATCACGGCACCACAGGCAGCCCAGCCCAAGTCAGAGCCTTCTGGGGACAGCTGCCTTCTACTAGGCTTCCCAACTAGTCTGATATGGAAGTCACAGGGGGCCAAGAGAGGCCCTTCCTCCAGATCCTGGGGCCACTGTGCAGGCCACCAGGACCTATCTAGAAGGGCATGGCCTGCATCTCTGCCTATTCAACAGGATCCACCTAGGATGGGAGGGTGAAACCCAACAAAAGCTCTAAAGAGTTCCAGGAACCCTGGCCAGCCGCTCAACTCCCGGTAGGAACAAGGTACCAGAAAGGGCTTCGAGGGCTGAGGGGTGGGTAGAAGAGATGCACCTGGTTGCGAAAAACAAGGCCCAACAAAGGAAGAAAGGCTCGGTAAGACTGAGACCAGCCTTCAAAGCAGAGCATGTACAGAACAAAGTACTCTGGAAACTCCTGGAGGAGAAGCCTCAGGAATAGGAAGCTCCAGGAGAAGGGGGACAACCCTGCAACGGGTCTTCCACTACACAGACAGCTCTGTGTTAGGTCCCAGCCTCACAGGCTGCCCTACCCTGCTGAGCACTGACCTTAAGGTCCTGACATCCAGAATCAGTTCAACAAGGTGATGACAGCCAAGCTCGTGGTCTCCTGGGGCACCCCAGGACTTCCTGATGGAAGCTGGGTGAGGAGAGCCCCAGGGGTGGGGGAGGCGAGGCCAGCCTGTCCCAGCACCAGCTCCACGTTCCTCTGCACACAGCCAGGCTGACCACCCGCTACAGAAACAGGAACAGCTCTGACCGCTGTGCCTACGTGTCACAAGTCAGAGAACTTCTCAACTCTTTTAACCACAGGACAAAAAATTACTATTCCCTAGTCTGGGGAGAGGGGGAAGCCACAGAAGAGCAGCTTACTAGAAAATCAGTGCCTGGGCGGCTCAGTCGTTAAGCGTCTGCCTTCGGCTCAGGTCATGGTCCCAGGGTCCTGGGATCGAGTCCCACATCGGGCTCCCTGCTCAGCCAGGAGCCTGCTTCTCCCTCTCCCACTCCCCCTGCTTGTGTTACTGCTCTCGCTCGCTCTCTCTCTGTCAAATAAATAAATAAAATCTTTAAAAAAAAAAAAAGAAAATCAGTGCCTGATTTGCTCAAAGGAACTCAAAGTCATCCAGCAAGCCTTTCCTACCACCAGATGAACCTGACCACGCTCCTGTCCCTATCCCTCGCCTGTCCAATCTGTGAACGCCACGGGGGGCTGGCCTAACTGCCCTCCACTCCATGTAAACAGCTCACACAGGGGCTCCAACAGGGCGCTGGAGCCGGCTCCTCAGAAAGGGCCCGGAAAGCACAGCTGCACCAACCCTTCCACGACACAAAAGGCAGGAGAAAGCGCGGAGATTTCCTCCATAAACTTCAAGGGGGAAAGACCTAATTACAACAGAGTATGAAAAGACTGTTGTATCTGACTATACAAAAGTCAAAAATAAAGTGACAAACCGGAGGAAAGTCTCTGCACCTCCCATCACAGAGGGCTTTCTATCCTCCTGAATATGGACTGCCTAGAAGGAGACACCAAGGGCCTGACAGAAAAATGAACAATATGAAGAACTTGCTGAAAAGGAAATTTAATGGCATTCTTTTTTTTTTTTTTTAGATTTTATTTATTTATTTGACAGAGAAAGACACAGCGAGAGAGGGAACCCAAGCAGGGGGAGTGGGAGAGGGAGAAGCAGGGGGAGTGGGAGAGGGAGAAGCAGGGGGAGTGGGAGAGGGAGAAGCAGGCCTCCCGCGGAGCAGGGAGCCCAATGCGGACCCTGGGATCATGACCTGAGCCGAAGGCAGACGCTTAATGACGGAGCCACCCAGGCGCCCCTAATGGCATTCTAATATATTAAAAAAGATGTTCAATCTCATTCAATTAAACACTGTACTGACAGGTCATTTTTCAATTAACACATGGGAAACATACAAATATTTGATGATACGATTTGAGGATTTGAGGAGGCAGCGGGGAAACAGTACATCTCCTTCACTGCCACTGGGAGGTAAACAGGTTAGAATCACTGTGCAGTGACTGCAATTCGGCAATTTGTATAAAACATCAAATGCCTGGGGATTCAAACTCCAGGACTGCCTCTGCAGCCACAGCAAGGTACAAAGTTCTCGAATGTAACACTGTTTATAGTATTCAGACAGAAAATGGCCCTGCAGCTCCAGCAGTGAGTGATTTAATAATGTGATGTAGTAGAGCTATGGGAAAAGAAGACAGAATCTATGTTTCAACACAGAAATATCTCAGAGAAACACTGTTACATTGGGGGGGGGGGGGCGGATGCTGAAGGACACTATCTAGGGAACACTCCCATACATGTTACAGGGGGGAAAAAAATCAAAGAAAAGGGGCAAGAAGCAGAGGGAAAGTGACAGTGTATGCATTTCCTACTTTATGGGTTCAAAAAAACTCCAGCAGATCAAGAAAATAGTAGGAAGAGGGGTAGTGCCAAGCGACATGATACAGAAAAACACTTCAGTATGTATCTCCTCATACTTTTCATTACTTAACCTTTTAACTATACCAGCAATGCAGCAATTCCGGCACACGACGAAGTCCGGGACTCCCTGGATGAGGCCACTCTAGCTGTGGTGGTTTGGATGCAGAACGGCAAACCCACACGAGCAAGAACACCAGCTCCAATGGACCAGGGCCTGGGGACCAGGAGGCCACCAGCTGTCCAGGGCTCGGGATGGCGACCACCCACAGCTCCCACCGGCCAAACAGTGGGCACAGGCAGGGGGCCAGGCGCTCACTCCGAGGACAGAGGTATCCACACTGTGCTCTGCTCTAAAGATGGTGATCTATGTATTTTATGACAAAGAATTTTGTGCAAGATTTCACTAGGCTAGCTCAAGTTAGCCCCATCTTGATGGAAGGAGAGAGCTGACCCTTCGCCATCACTCCATTCTGTAGCAAACAACCTCTTCTTCAGAGGACACTAATTTCCCAAATTTCTAATTTCTCCTATTGATCTGTACCCCAAACTTCCTTCCCTGCTTGGGGATCCATCTCCTGTTATCTGTTCTCAGTACCTGTCTGCCTACCCTTATGATCAGGGTCCCCCAGCCTGAGTAAAGCACCCCACTACTACCCCACTGAGGATCAATCTTCTGTTCTCTATTTTCATTACCTGCCCGCCCACCCTTATGCTCAGGGTCCCCCAGCCTGAGTGAAGAACCCCACTACCACCCTGCCTCTTCGCCATCTCACCACCTTTCATTCCTCCACCCACAAGCTATACAGACCCACCACTGAAACTGTGCCCCCAGCTCCGCACCCTGAGAAGCCACACTTTGATAACCATCACCCAGGGTTACTCTTTAGCACACCAGGATGCTTGCCAACTGGCAACCCACTTGTACTTCCATGCTTGACTCTCCACACTCCAGGCTTCCCTCTTCATTATCAACCTTCGCAAAGTCTGCCTCTGAGCTGGGGAGGATGGCCTGAGATGGCACGAAGAAGGAGTGGACAGAAAACCTGATGCCACAATGAGGAACGTCCCCATGACCACCAACAAACTGGAATGCAGTTACACTGACAGGGCTAAGAGCCAGGGCTGGGAGTCTCAGAGAGAGAGACATGTGCATGTGGCAAAAGACAGCTAGTCCTCACACAAGCTCTCACTTTTCCCTCCCAACATTCTCTCTACAATGGCCTTCCCAAAATAACAGAAGGTAATCTAGAACAATGCTCTTGATTCAACTTGACTTTCGGTGGAGCACAAGCTGAAATTAGCAATGAGCCTACTTCAAACACCTCAACATGACCAACCCCAGAGTGGGTTCAAAAGGCTCCTCTAATAAACAAGGAGCTCAGTGAGTGCTTAGGAACAAATCCAGCCCCTAACCAGTTTAGGAAGCAAGATGTCCTCCATGGTGCCTAGGAAAATCAACAGATCAAACCACATGCCTAGACTGAGGTAATACACCTAAGCAATTTGAGATTATCTTAGACATTCAAAACCCACAAACCAAAGCTCCACCTGCACAGGACTAAGCTCCGCCGAGCTCGCTGAGCAGGGTGGGGGATGATGGGACCGAGAAGACACTTACTGTGTGTGATGTGCTGGAGGAGAGCGCTGCGTGTGCAGAGGAGAGGCTGCTCTGATGGCTGGAGAGTGAACTAGAAGACAAAACAGAGCATCACATGTCCGCCCCACCGACTCACCCCACAGGAGAGGCCCACGTGTCCAGGTTTGCCCCATCCCTCCAAGATGAGCCCTGGCTTCACACCCATCATTCATCATCACATGGGGGCCCAGACCAGGTGCTGGGATGGTTAGAAATGATCTAAAGGGTCATTCACCATGAGGATCTGGGATATCATGGCCTGGGAAACCTCCAGAGCCAGCTTCAGCCAACTAAAATCATTTGCTCTTTAGACTGTAAAAAGTAAGAACAGGATTGCACTAAGAACACTGTCAGCCACAGAGACCCCATTCGATCTGTGTGCGAGGGGAGAAAGTTCCTACGTTCAAACCCCCACCGCCCCCATGCCAGAGCCAGAGCCAGGGCCTGACTTCCCATCAAATCAAGAATTCAAACCAAAGGCTTTTATTCCTAGCTAAGGGGGGAAGAGGTACTCCAAAGACACAGGATGAGGACCAAACAAAATCCATTATCCTACACCCTGTTCTAATAATTCAACCTCTGAAGCCAGAACAAGAGGAAGTGAAAGACCTGCTCAAAAACCAAACATCATTCTCACTTCACATCGCAGGGACCCAAGCCCAGAGCTGAGAGGAGAGACCAGGCTCAGGGCACACTCCTCAGGGGTCCAAGAAGAGGGGCAGCAGCGACTCCCCAGCCGCCCACTCCCAGGGGCCCCAGTGCTCTGGGACAGCAGGGGCATTACAAGTAGGTAAGGTTTACACATCTGGTGCTTCTGAGACCACGCCCAGCCAAACCCTACACACTGACACATTACTGCTGAAGACCAGGCCATCGTGCTGCGGGCAGCAAGAGGGTTTTGTTCATTGCCACTGCTTTCTGTAACGGTTTGGGACTTCACCCCAGTGTGCCTCTCATTTTGGCTCCTTATTTTCTCCATACCTGCTAAGCTGAGAGAGGGGGCTGCTGGACAGGTCACCAGGCTGGGACATGGAGGGCAAAGTGGCAGTGTGCTGAGATGCAGAGGGCAGAAGCGTAGTGCAGGAAGTGGTGCTGGGCAGGGAGCCCACAGATGGGAGGGCAGAGGGAGGATCTGTTGTCTTTGGAGCTGGAACGGATGAAGTAGCTGTAAGAAACAGATAGGTTTAGCTCCAGAACCAATCATAAGTATCTAAAATATGTTCAATGTCTTGTAACACATCAGGATCAGTTTGAGAAACATATAAAGTTACATTCCCCGGGGAAAATGCACGAGCATTTTCTGTCCAATACGACTAATAAAACTGACATGTGAAGGTAAGACAAATAGGACTTGGCCAAGAATAGGAAATGATAGCTTTTTAACCAACCCTAAACTGTCCTAAAACGTGGACATACTTCCCCTAATTAAAGGAACCCAACCCTGAGCTGCACTAGAAAGGGCAAGAGGCTCTGAGACTGATACACAGGATTACAATGTGAGGCAAATTTGTCTCAAAAGGCACAAGGGATAGTACAAATCTGGTAGGCAAGACTGTCAAAGAGTTAGGTATTTGCTTCTATCAAGTCAGTATTAAATCAGGCTGACCTGGGAAAGCTCACAGCCAATTCAGGGCAAACAGGGTTTGAGAGCCCAGGGTACACAGAGTGTGGGGTGTTACAGATATCTAAAAGCCACTGTCCACACCCACTTTCACAGGCAGAGTGAGCATTTCCTTAAACAAACAAAACCCTCAGAGCACATGAAGGAGTTTATTAGGCTTCCAGAAGAACATAAATATGATCAATCCTAGCTGCAGAAAAGACTCAGTTTTAGTTCTATCCACACATGTAACTCGGATATGTGCTTGGATATAAAGCATCATTGTCTTTTCCAGTTAGGAAGGACGAGTAACGTTTACCCACCCACAGGACTCCCTGGGAACCGAATGGAAAACATACTAGTCTCTAAAAAGAAGGATGATTTGAAAACAAACACAGATAGCAAGAGGGTCAACACACAACTTGGCCCATTCTTATAGGAGTCCTTATAGTCTAGAGGCTTGTTTTTTACTGACAATCTACTCCAAACATGATACCTGTTGTTACAGACACCAGATGAAAACACCACAGATGCCCCTGACCCAAAACTCAGACCCATAACTTACCTCCCTAGGTCTTGGGTCACACTGATAACAAGTTCACAAGAGGCCTCTCAAAGAACGGGGGAGAGAGGGAGAAGCGTGGGAAGTAAGATACAGATGGAGGATAAACCTATCTAAAATGCACACTATGTTTTCCAGACATTTCACTTCTCACTATCTCATTTTAAATCTCCAAATACGGGTGGTGCCTGGGTGGCTCAGTTGGTTTAGCACCTAACTCGTAATTTCAGCTCAGGTCATAATGTCAGGGTTGTGAGATCAAGCCCTGCACTGGGCTCCAAGCTGGGTGTGGAGCCTGCTTTAGATTCTCTCTCCCTCCGCCCCCTACCTCTGCCCCTCTTCGACCTCTAAAAAAATTAATTACAATCTCCAAATAATCGGGGCGCCTGGCTGGCCCAGTTGGTAGAGCGTGTGACTCCTGATCTCGGGTTTGTGGGTTCAAGCTTCAGGTTGGGTGTAGAGATAATTAAAAACAACAACAAAAAATCTCCAAATAATCGAGGACACCTCTATGTGTTCTCAATCTCATGCCTGTACTAAAGAAACTTGCCACCAAGGCTTATGGAATGAGAATGGCCTCTGACATCAGAAGTTCTCATAGCTACCAAAGTTATCTCCAAACAGCTCCGGCAGCCCAGCAATACCAAAACCAATTCTGAGTAAATCACAAATGTCACTTTAATTCCAACTGAGGCCCCCTCTTGGACTGATGAAATTCCATGTCCACACTACCAAAAATCCTAAATAAAAGGAAGTCCGAGGCGCCTGGGTGGCTTAGTCGGTTAAGCGTCTGCCTTTGGCTAAGGTCATGATCCCAGGGTCCCAGGATCGAGCCCCACATCAGGCTCCCTGCTTAAGCTCTCTCTATCAAATAAATAAATAAATAAATAAATCTTAAAAAAAAAAAAAAAAAGTCCTTCTGGCTTCTCTACCCAATAGTGATACCCATTTGCCTTACTGAATAAAGAATGAAAATCATCATTAACAATCACAGATAACCAAGCCAAGAACAAAGGAAAGAAACAACTAACAGAGATTCACCTGCACCAACTCTAGAGATCACTGAGCTTACTAGAATCGGGGGCAGGGAGAACCTCATTTTTTTCCCCCACATGTTTATAAGTGAAGAGCATTTGACCTCTCTTCTTTGCAACAGTCCACTAGATCCTGAAGGCAATGAGCATGTCCTTCCTGAACTAGCACACCAAATTTTTGCTTTAAAAGTCCTTCCCAGGGGATGCCTGGGTGGCTCATTCGGTTAAGCAGCTGCCTTCAGCTCAGGTCATGATCCCAGGGTCCTGGAATCGAGTTCCACATCAGGCTCCCTGCTTAGCGGGGAGCCTGCTTCTCCCTCTCCCTCTGCGTGCTGCTCCCTCTGCTCTCTCTCTCTCTCTCTCTCTGGCAAATAAATAAATAAAATCTTAAGGAAAAAAAAAGTCCTTCCCAGTATTGAAGAGCTCTATGACAATACTGGAACCTCTACCTCAAAGCAAAGCATCTTTTAAATCCATACCACAATCTACACCTGGGGTGCAGTCGACTAGAACAGAGTGATATGAGGCGTATATTACCTCCTTCTTACTGTAGTTATGGTATTTCTCATAATACCAACAGCTACAACCTACTCATACGGGAATCTGTAGCTGAACTTGTAAACCCTGCCAAAGAAAGGATGCCAATGTGATGGATCACAAGTAACTACCAGAAAAAATGCAAAAGGACTATTTTCGCATAATTAGTCACTGGCCCGTTTTTTTCCCTATCATATTAGCTATACTCTTTTTCTGTTTGATTTCCACCAGCCAAAACAAGAATGGTTAGTTTAAGTACTTACTGTCTATTGTCTGCTGACTTCGACCACCACTATGTCCATTCTATGAGGAAAGGAAAAGAAAGTAAGTAAACCCACAAAATCAAATGACAACTTAGCTGAATTTCTGTTGGAATTTAGCCAGAAACATATGCAGTATAGATCAGTCAAGAAACGATGGCCTGTTTTATTCTGTTTGGTTTTTGGTTGTTTTATTTTTTTAAGATTTTGACAGACACAGCAATAGAGGGAACACAAGCAGGGGGAGTGGGAGAGGGAGAAGCAGGCTTCCCGCACGGAGCAGGGAGCCCAATGCAGGGCTCGATCCCAGGACCCAATGTCAAAACTACTGAAGAATGGGTCGCCTGGGTGGCAGTTAAGCATCTGCCTTTGGCTCAGGTCATGACCCCAGGGTCCTGGGATCAAGCCCTGCATCAGGCTCCCTGCTCAGCGAGGAGCCTGCTTCTCCCTCTCCTCCCCACTCATGCTCTCTCTTGCTATCTCTGTGTCTCTCTCTCTCAAATAATAAAAAATCTTAAAAAAACCCAAAAAAAACTACTAAGGAAAAAGACAAACCTTAGAGATGTTGCCTCTGTATTAACCCAAATCCAGTACAATTATTTTTTTAAGATTTTTTTTATTAATTTGAGAAAGAGAGCACAAGAGAGGGAACACAAGCAGGGGGAGTGAGAGAGGTTGAAGCAGGCTTCCCGCTGAGCCGGGAGCCCGATGCGGGGCTCGATCCCAGGACCCTTGGATCATGATCTGAGCCAAAGGCAGATGCTTAATGACTGAGCCACCCAGGCGCCCCTCCAGTACAATTTCTGTTCAAGAAATGTTATTTACAACATATTTTTTTCTTTAAAACAATATAAAGTTATATACAAGAAATGTAGACTATAAAAGATTAGAACTTTGAGAGGGAGAAAACCAAAAATGAGTTAAAATAAAAGACTGGGGACACCTGGGTGGCTCAGTCGTTAAGCGTCTGCCTTTGGCTCAGGTCATGATCCCAGGGTCCTGGGATCGAGGGCTCCCTGCTCCGTGGGAAGCCTGCTTCTCTCTCTCCCACTCCCCCTGCTTGTGTTCCCTCTCTCGCTGTGTCTCTGTCAAATAAATAAATAAATCTTAAAAAAAAAACTATTATGCTCACAGTTAAAAAAAAAAAAAAAAAAAAGACTGAGGTCAGGTAAAAGGAAACACAATATACCTTACCAATATATACAGACAGGTAGAGAACAATCAAAACTCTACTCTCTGCCTCCCTCCAAACTAGGGTTCACTACGCACTAAATACATAGACATAACACTGAGCATGTACATCCAAAACAGCACAAATGGCAACATCCAAAGAAGTGTTTTCAAAACCACACCAAACAGAAAGAATAAAAAGGGGTAACAGAAAAAGAGCAGGCATCAGACCTTAGGTATATTTTATCCCACCTTGAAAATCCCTTTATTTAAAAAAATTTTTTTTAAGATTTTATTTATTTGAGAGAGACAGAGATAGTGAGGGACAGCACAAGTGGGAAGGAGAGGGAGAAGCAGGCTCCCTGCAGAGCAAGGAGCCCGATGCGGGACTCGATCCCAGGACCTCGGGATCATGACCTGAGCCGAAGGCTTAACCGACTGAGCCACCCAGGCGCCCTTGAAAAACACAATGGACAAACTGATACAACATGGGAACTACATTATTCGGGGTGGGGATAATTCCAGGCAGAAGAATGGTGGGAGCAAAAGTAAAGAAATACCAAATGGTCAGGAGAGATCAGAAATTTCAGGGTCTCAGTTCAACTAGCCAAGCAAGGAATGAGGTGAGTAATGACATGAGCAAGCAGCATACCAGGTGAAATTAGGGCTGGAGTTGAGAAGCTGAGCAGATGACATACACTTAAGCTCGGACAGCACACTGTGTGATTTATGTTTTAGAAACTATAGCCCAGTACTATACAAGGAAACATTCTGCAATAAAGGGAATAATCTATATGGACATGTGTGTGTCCCTATACTGTAGCCACTATAGATATTGAGCATTTATTTCCTTTTTAAGATTTTATTTATTTGACAGAGAGAGAGAGAGCACAAGCAAGGGGAGCGGCAGGCAGAGGGAGAAGCAGGCTCCCCGCAGAGCAGGGAGCCCAATGCAGGGCTCAATCCCAGGACCCTGACTGAGCCACCCAGATGCCCCGATACTGAGTATTTAAAATGTGGTTAGTACGTCTGAGGAACTAAAACTGTAATTGTTTATTTAATTTAAATGAACTACTACAGAATTTTACCATATACGGTGACAAGAATTTTAAATAAAAGATTGAAATAAATTTTTTTTAAAAGTAGCTCTCACTAGTAATGCTTGAACATCTCTGCCTTTCAGGGAACTAAAATATTACAAATAAGACTATAGGTCCGGGGCGCCTGGCTGGCTCAGTTGGTTAAGCGACTGCCTTCGGCTCAGGTCATGATCCCAGGGTCCTGGGATCGAGTCCCACATCGGGCTCCCGGCTCAGCAGGAAGCCTGCTTCTCCCTCTCCCACTCCCCCTGCTTGTGTTCCTGCTCTTGCGGTCTCTGTCAAATAAATAAATAAAATCTTAAAAAAAATAATAATAATAATAATTAAAAAAAAAAAAAGACTATAGGTCCATTGTGTCTCCCCCCCACGCCCACCCCACAACCCCATGCAAAGCACTATGGACAATTTGGGATGTATCCTTATGCTATCCTTATACTAAGCTTCTTGGTCCACTCATACACTCCTGTGTATGGGTGCTTAAAATGCAGATTTCACACCACAGCCCACTATTAGTAAACTCAACAAACTATAAGAAAGGTTAGCCAATTTCTTTTTTTTAAAAGATTTTATTGATTTGACAGAGAGAGACACAGTGAGAGAGGGAACACAAGCAGGGGGAGTGGGAGAGGAAGCAGGCTTCCCGCTGTGCAGGGAGCCTGATGTGGGGCTCGATCCCACGACCCTGGGATCATGACCTGAGCGGAAGGCAGATGCTTAATGACTGAGCCACCCAGGTGCCCCAAAAGGTTAGCCAATTTCTAGGGGCGTGCCTGGCTGGCTCAGTTGGTGGAGCATGTGACTCTCGATCTCAGGTTGGTAAATTCGATCTCCATGTTAAGTGGAGAGAGTACTTAAAAATAAAATCTTGGCGGACACTGGGGAGGTTATGTGCTTTGGTAAACACTGTGAATTGTGTAAGACTGATGAATCACAGACCTGTACCCCTGAAACAAATAATACATTATATGGTAACAATAAATAAATAAATAAATAAATAAATAAATAAATAAATAAATAAATAAATAAATAAATAAAAATAAAATAAAATCTTGGGGCACTTATGTGGCTCAGTTGTTTAAGTGCCCGCTCGGGTCATGATCCCAGCAACCTGGGATCAAGCCCCGCATCAGGCTCCCTGCTCAGCACGGGGGCCGCTTCTGCCTCTCCCTCTGTCTGCCGCTCTGCTTACTTGTGCTTTCTATCAAATATAAAAATAAAATCTTAAAGAAAAAAATAAACAAAATAAATAAAAGAAAATCTTTAAAAGGTTAGCCTTTTCTTTCTTTCTAAAAGAAAATCTCATCTAAAACCCTCAATTTCCCAAACTAAACACTGACCCTCCAAACAGGATTTCCTACAAGAAGAAACCTGAAAAGACCAATTACCGTGATGGTTCCTGGAGCTGACTCCGATGGACTCACAGAGCTTTGGTATGCAATTCTGTTATGCACAGAACTCTGGTCATAGGAGGAAGACGTTGTTACTGGACTAGTGGAGCTCAGTGATGAGCTGGTAAGACTGGAGGAGGTAATAACTGAAGTTGTATAGGTGGAGTTCTGTACTGCACTGGTCATTGGTAGAGAGGTATTCAAAGAATCACTAGAAAGAATAAAAAGATTTAGACATAACTTTGTGTCACTTAAATGGGTTCATCAAGAACTATTTCATCACTTTACTGCCATACTATAAATTAAATAAACATGTCTGTACCTACACATTTGTACTACTGCATGCTTTAACTGTATTAAAAGGATGCATATTCAAAACACCCCTCCACTCCCAATCAGACCCACCTAATTTAAATGACAGGCAGAGGGACATCTTTAAGAATCCTTAAGACTCTGTAAGGAACCCAGAAGTCTGAAACCACTTTTTTTCTTTTAAGATTTTATTTATTTATTTATTATTTTTATTTATTTATTTCTTACTTATTTATTTATCAATCAATCAGAGAGAGGGAGAAGCAGGCTCCCTGCTGGGCAGAGAGCCTGATGAGGCACTCAATCCCAGGACCCTGGGATCATGACCTGAGCTGAAGGCAGACACTTAACTGACTGAGTCACCCAGGTGCCACTGAAACCATTTTTAGAAAGAGCAAATACCAGCTTTTAGTTCTGGGGAGTAGAAAAATTAATAAAATCTAAAATCTGGGATTCTCTACCTATGAAACATTCCACTGAAGGAAAATACGTGTTGGCAAAGATGTACAAGAAGTGCATCCCTCAGAGATTACTGGGAGGAATGTAAAATGCTACAGCCACTATGAAAAAAGTTTCCTGGTTCCTCAAATGTTAATATAAGGGTTACCATAGGACCAGCAATTACTAGGTCTATATCCAGAAGAACTGAAAGGACAGAAAATTGGTAAATGAATGTTCACAGCACCATGATTCTTAATACCCAAAAAGTGGAAACAATCCGAATGTCCATCAACCAATGAACAGATAAAAAAAATGTGATGTATCTACACAATGAAATACTATTCGGAAATAAAATGCATACAAGCTACAAATGGATGAACTTTGAAAACACTATGCCACATAAAAGAAGTCAGACACAAAAGACCACATATTGCATGATTCTTGCTTTATGAAATATCGGAATAGGCAAATCCAGAGACAGAGGATTAGCTGCCAGAGGATGAGGGGAGGGGGAAATTGCGAGTGACTGCTAACAAGCACAGGGTTTCTTTTTAGTGTGATGGAAGAAAAGTTCTGGAATTAGATTCTAGTCATGGGTGCACAAACTTACCACCACAGGGTGTACTGTCTCCACCAGGTGATTTCTTAGGCTCTATTTTGTTTTACTTTGCCAACAAAGGGCTTAATTCAGTCAAAGCCAGAGAAATAAGAAGTCGTGTACCTTAAAGACTTCGAATACAAGCTGATGGGAATCTGGTTACTATTTTCACTGCTTGCCGCTGATCCAAATTCAGAGAGAGAAGGTTCTGATCCAAATTCCAAGGCGCCAAACTGAACATTTAATCCTGTGACATCTGCTGACCCAGGCATTTCCACTGCAGAAGCTGGGATCTGAAAAACAGAGCCATCACGTCAGGAACTGAGATCGGAGATCCCATGTCCCAGAGGCCTCGAGCAGAGCCAAATGAGCACCGGCTTCCCAAAGCATTACTGGCACCCCGGAGGAACAAGGTGCAAGACATCCACAAGAAGGAAAAAGGCACAGGACATTTCAAAAAAGAAGAGAAGAGAAAAATGAGCAGTTAACAGCAGAATGGTCAGTGCCACCAACTGCTTCTTAGAGCAGAGGCCGAAGAAATGGGGGCGGGCTGGGTGGTGGTGGGTGAGAGAAGGGAGGAGAGCGGGCCATCGCTGAAAGCATTATCTAGTCAAAGAACCACTTATTCTCTATCTCCGAGACGCAGGTAAATACACAAGACCAGCAGATTCTCTGACCCAGATCCTGTAATTTCAATGAACAGTCTCTGTCTCCAACACAAAACCATTCCCTCTCATATTAGCCCAGCCACTCAGAAATGGCCGATTCCTCATTAAGCAGTAAGCTATGTGCTTGGAAAAAAATACCATGTCACCGTTTCTGAGACTTACTAACCCAACCCTTGAGCTAAATGTTGAAATACATCCACCATTGGGCCTGTGACTTCTGGATGGAGAACAGACCTTAGAAGCTGGAGGTATCCGCCGCTTCGGTAGTTTGATGTGTTTAGACTGTGGTTGGTGGGTAGTCACAGCAATGTTTTCTACAGTCATGCTGGGAAGCTGCAAAAGTTTGTTCACAGTGGAGGTACTGTCTCTGGGTGTTGACTCTCGCAGTTTTACCTGGGAAGGAAAGGACTCCAACCCAGGAGGAGGAACAGCAACGGCCTGAGTGTGGTGCTGCTGTCGCTGGCTCAATTGACTAAGAACCGGGGATGGTTCAGGCTGAGATTTGAAGTCTATGAAATACGTAAAGGGGGAGGGAGGGAAAGTAAGCAACAATCAATTATTTAGGAACGTGGGCTTAGAGCTCCGTCTTCCAATATGACTGAGAGTGAAAGGTTGTAGTTACCACTTGTTTCTCCCAACAACCTTCTACCTGAGTCCCCTAAGTTGGGGGCGTGTGTGATCTATTATAACTGGTATATGATAAATGGAAAAGGATGCCTGAATGGGTTTACAGATCATTTCTTATGCAGAGAGGAGACATAGTTTACATTAAGACACACGGAGTGGGTAAAAGAGCACGGAGTTGCTACACATTTGGCCTTTAGCTAAGAGAGAATTATATTTTTGTTGCTTTATGGATTTCTTAACAAAACTGTTAAAAATTATTGTTTTTCAGTAACTAATGTGATATTACAAAATCCAAAAGGTAAAAAAAGTTTATGAGGACTATAAATCACCCTTTCAACCCTATCTCCAGATTCACTCCACAGAGGCAGACATTGTACCCAGTTTCTTGATTATCTTCAAAGATACTGTTTCAAAACACACATACACAGACACACACACATTATATATATAGCTTCCTCACAAACCATTTGGTTTTCAAAAATTGTTCCATATTAACATGTGAAGAGCTACTTCATTTTTATGGCCACATAGTAATCCAGTGTACAGAGGCATCGATTTTTAAAACCAGTACTGTATTAACAGGCTTTTAGGTTTTCCAATATCTTGCTAAGAAAAACAGTGCTGCAATGAATGTATCTTTATGTAAGACATTTTGCTCAAGTGCAAATATACCTGTGGGATCAATAACTAGAAGGTTCAAAGAACAACTCTATTTTAAATTTTGACAAACACTTCAAAATTCTTTCAAAAGATAGAACACACACTTTTTAATATGCTGTGATACCAACAACTTTTATCCTTCCTAATCTGAATGATGGAAAATGGCATAAAAGGTGCAATTTAAAATGATATAAATTCAATGAGGCATCATTTCATATACTCCAGTATTCTTTGCCTATGAACTCTGACAACACCTCTTTGACCTTTTTTTTTTTTTTTACTTTGTTTAGTCTCCTTTATTTTTAGTTACTCTTCTTTATAAAGGAAGCTAGCCCTTTGTCTACATGATTTTCAAATCATAATGAAGTGGGCAATTTTTTCCAGCCAGGTAGTATGTATTTTAGGCTTTGAAGGCCATCTGTTAGCAACTACTCAACTCTCCCTTTGTAGACTGAAACCAGTTATAAGACAATACACAATGAATGGCCATGGCTGTGTTCCAATAAAATGTTATTTACAAAAACAGGTGACAAATCCAGTTGAAGTTTGCCAACCCATGACTTGGTGTATTTCCATCTTAGATGAGTCTATTTTTGGACTTTATATTAGAGGCATATATCATAAGGTAGGATTTATAAAGAATATAGAAATAGCATGTACAAATCTAAAAACTCTTATCGCCCACTGCAGTGGGTCTGCAGAAAAAGGGTAACATAGGACTACAACTAGCATCAGAAATGCCACCTTGCTAAACTGGCTCTTGGCCAGTGTCTGCAAACACAGTATTTTAATATATTCTAGGCAAAGGTTGCCAAGCACTCTTATCAGATAAAAATGACTCTCTACACCTTTAATGTTTGTACAAGGTGGTTTATGGTGAACACTTGCTTTCCTACTGGGAATCTGGAATATTGTTATGTACTAGGCAGAGGGTACTTATGTATAACCAGTTCCCCAATAAAAAACTTTGAGTATTAAGGCTCTAATGAATTTCCTTGGTAGACAGGACTCCAAATTTGGGAGTAGTCTCAGATACTTCCTTAACAACAAACTGTTTCTTTCAGGATAGAAACGTGATTCCGTGTCTTTTAATAAGCCCTAAACATAAACATGCCTAGGAAACCAACACTATGGTTAATAACCCTCTGCTATTCCTTAATACAGTGTGGCATGTGTATGTTGGTGGAAAATGGGTGTTTTAATGTCACAAAATCTCTGGGAGTATAGTTTAGAAAACATCCAACTTACATATGGTGCCTTTATATTATAAACCACTGACAATAAGGCTGGCACAAATCATGATAGATACATACAAATATTAAAATGAGAAAGCAACCCAGAGGGTGTGATTTAAAATTCCACATCCCAACTCTGTCCCCACAATATTATAATAGAGCTTAGAAAATTCTGTCCAGGCATTTACTCAGTGTTATTTCCTTGTATTTGTAAGGCTTTACCATGCTATGGAACATCTCTTCAAGATATGTACTACTACCACTACTGATAACAACAAATAAATGCAGGTATTTATACAATACAAAGCTATCTGATGTAATTCACAAACACCACAGAAATTCTATTAAAAAGAAACATCTCTGGACAAATTCCACATTACTGTTCACAATTCAACACACTCTCGTAATGTTTAGCATGTCCTCACTGGGGGCTAACCACCACAGAAAATGTATACTTACCAAAATGACTAAGGACTGAGGACTGGGAAGTTGAGGGCTTGAGGTCCCAAGAAGAAGTGGTTGTGGGGGGACTTGTACTATTCTGCTGTGAACCTGGGGTAGTGGTAAACTGGCCCAAACTTGGAGCTTTCAATTGGTCCAAAATCTGGGAGCTGGTGATGTTTGCCATTTTGGAAGGTGCAAGCTCTCCAAATCCTGAACCAAGGACGGATGACTTTAAAAGGAAAAAAAAAGCAAAAATCCTCAGCAATACAAATCTCTACTCCAGAATTTAAACACATCAAGTATTTTCATAAGAATTTTTAAAACTATAACCTAGAACATGTGAATCAATAAGACTCACCTGAGAAGATCCTACATGAAAATATTACCATACAACAAAATCTGATTAAATCCAGCAATCCTTCTGGATTCTGATATAAGAAGTTAAAGGGAAGGAGAATATTTTCCCTGGATATTGAGACATTGCTTTCTTTTTGGGGCACCTGGGGGGCTCAGTTGGTTAGGCCACTGCCTTCCGCTCAGGTCATGATCCCAGGGTCCTGCAGTTGAGCCCCGTGTCATCACTGGGCTCCTGGCTCAGCAGGGAGTCTCCTTCTCCCTCGCCCTCTGCTCATCCACCCCCCCAGTTGTGCTCTCTCTCTCTCACAAATAAAATCTTTTTTTTTTTTTTTAAGATTTTATTTATTTATTTGACAGACAGAGAGTGAGCACAAGTAGGGGGAGCAGCAGGCAGAGGGAGAGGGAGAAGCAGGCTCCCTGATGAGCAGGGAGCCCGACACGGGGCTCAATCCCAGAACCCCAGGATCATGACCTGAACTGAAAGCAGCCGCTTAACTGACTGAGCCAGCCAGGCGCCCCATCAAATAAATAAAATCTTAAAAAACAAAAAGACACTGCTTTCTTTTTAAAAGTGGTGTCACAAATTCACAAACAAAATACTACTGTTTTTTATAAAGATAAATACCATGAATTCAATGACAAACACAAGCTTGAGAAACAAAAATACAGTATTTTCTTAATGTATGCAACAACAGTAATCATGTTTGTAAGTTTGATTGGTGAATGGCTCAGCAATGTCATCCTACAAAATTAACTGCAGGTTGCAGCACTTACTTAAAAAGTTAATATTCTGAGCTGCCGCACGGGGAGGAGGCCGAGGCCGCAGCTTGAGGGAGGCCCCGGCCCCTCTGTACGCGTGGGTGTGGATGGCTAGGGGAAGGGAAGGGAGGCCGGCCCACTGGCCAGCTGGGTGCCTGTGTCTGGCAGAGCCGATGTGAGACGAAGAGACAATCCTTCCCTGCCGCCCAGATAATCAAGAGTTTTGGCCGGACCTTTGAGCACACACCAAGAGTGAGGAGCCAGACGAAAAGCACAGACTATGGCGCTGAAACAGATTAATAAGGAACTTAGTGATTTGGCCCGTGACCCTCCAGCACCATGTTCTGCAGGTCCAGTTGGGGATGATATGTTTCATTGGCAAGCCACAATTATGGGACCTAATGACAGCCCATACCAAGGCGGTGTATTCTTTTTGACAATTCATTTTCCTACAGACTACCCTACCCCTTCAAACCACCTAAGGTTGCATTTACAACAAGAATTTATCATCCAAATATTAACAGTAATGGCAGCATTTGTCTCGATATTCTAAGATCACAGTGGTCTCCTGCTTTAACTATTTCTAAAGTTCTTTTATCCATTTGTTCACTGCTATGTGATCCAAACCCAGATGACCCCCTAGTGCCAGAGATTGCACGGATCTATAAAACAGACAGGGATAAGTACAACAGAGTATCTCGGGAATGGACTCAGAAGTATGCCATGTGATGCTACCTTAAAGTCAGAATAACCTGCATTATAGCTGGAATAAACTTTAAATTACTGTTGCTTTTTTGATTTTCTTATCCGGCTGCTCCCCTATCAAACCTCATCTTTTTTAATTTTATTTTTTGTTTACCTCCCTCCATTCATTCACATGCTCATCTGAGAAGACTTAAGTTCTTCCAGCTTTGGACAATAACTGCTTTTAGAAACTGTAAAGTAGTTACAGTTTCTAAAGAGAACAGTTGCCCAAGATTCAGAATTTTTTTAAAAATGGAGCATGTGTATTATGTGGCCAATGTCTTCACTCTAACTTGGTTATGAGACTAAAACCATTCCTCACTACTCTAACATGCTGAAGAAATCATCTGAGGGGGAGGGAGATGGATGCTCAGTTGTCACATCAAAGGAAGCAGCATGATTCTAGCATCCAGTCTTTTTTTAAGCCTTCCACTGTTAGAGATTTAAGGTTACATGATATACTTTATGCTCATAACTGATGTGACTGGAGAATTGGTATTGAATTTATAGCATCAGCAGAACAGAAAATGTGATGTATTTTATGCATACAATAAAGGAATGACCTGTTCTTGTTCTACAGAGAATGGAAATTGGAAATCAAACACCCTTTGTATTCCAAAATAGGGTCTCAAACATTTTATAATTCTCATTTAAATTGTTAGGAGGCTTGGAGCTATTAGTTAATCTATCTTCCAATACACTGTTTAATATAGCACTGAATAAATGATGCAAGTTGTCAATGGATGAGTGATCAACTAATAGCTCTATTAATTGATTTATTTTTCTTCAATAAAGTTGCAGAAACCAAAAAAAAAAAAGTTAATATTCTAAAATCAGATAATGATTTACACATGAGGGATCTTGTGTACTGAGCCGATATCCTGGGCACCACTGCATTTATTTCAAGTTGTTTTGATGACTAAGAACACCAAATACGCTCCTTAAGTAAGTATCCAAAAGAAAATGTTACACCTCCCCCATCTATCCTGTCAGGTCAGATACCAAGAGCCAATGAGAACGATACACGTAAAAAAATGAAACTGGACCACTTTCTCACACCATACACAAAAATAAACTCAAAATGGATTAAAGACCTAAATGTGAAGCCTGAAATCATAAAAATCCTAGAGAAAGCATAGGCTGTGTAATTTCTTTCACATCAGCTAGAGCAATATTTTTCTAGATATATCACCTAAGGCAAGGGAAACAAAAGCAAAAATAAAGTATTGGGGGGCGCCTGGGTGGCTCAGTCGTTAAGCGTCTGCCTTCGGCTCAGGTCATGATCCCACAGTCCTGGGATCGAGCCCCGCATCGGGCTCCCTGCTCCGCGGGAAGCCAGCTTCTCCCTCTCCCACTCCCCCTGCTTGTGTTCTCTCTCTCGTTGTCTCTCTCTCTGTCAAATAAATAAATAAAATCTTTAAAAAATAAAAACATAAAATAAAATAAAAATAAAGTATTGGGACTAAATCAAAATTAAAAAAAAAACAAAAACAGGACCCAAGGAGAATGAAAGCCTTGACTAGTGAACACAGTCACTGCATTTTTACATATGAAGATCCTTCAGTTTCTGAAAAGATATTTATCAAAAAATAACTTTTTAAGGGCACCTAGGTGGCTCAGTCAGTTAAGCATCTGCCTTCGGCTCAGGTCATGATCCTGGAGTCCCAGGATCGAGTCCTACATCAGGCTCCCCACTCAGTGGGGAAAATACTTCTCCCTCTGCCCCTCCCCACTCTCGTGCTTTCTCTGTCTCACTCTCTCAAATAAATAAAATCTAAAAAACAAAACACAACTTTTTGAAACCATTTAAAAGGTCAAAAACAGAAACGACTTGCATTCTCTTAAGAGATCAGATACAGAAAGTTGAAATAATTATTTCTGTTAACAATATCCAAAGGCATCCCAGTTGTTTTAAGGAAATTCAAATTCTCCAATCTGAGCAAAACATTAGGTTGTAAGCAGTTATTGCACATCAATCACAGAATCTGCTAACATTATTTATCACTACTCCAGAACCCTTCCTCATGCTGTCCAAAACACCTGCTCTTCTGCTGCTACAAATCCACCAAAATCCAGTTCAAGCCCCCTTGTTCAGTAAAGGCTTCCACGACGATACTTCGATTCTTCTGATCTCTATCCTGCATCAGCTAATATCATCAAATGCATTTTCTGCATGCTTTGCAACACAATGAAATCACTGCATCAAGGACTAGTGCTTTGCTTCACGTTAACACTTAGCATAGGACTTCTCAATTTCACCTACATTTCAATCAATGGGGGCTTTAACAACATGTGTACTGATACACCAATATGCATGCACTCACATATACACAAACATACACAAGTGCCCAACTTGCAATCCCAAGATTCTGACTTATTTGGTCTATGTGGACTCTGGCATTATTTTATTATTATTATTACTGTTGTTAATTTACTCAAGTTCCCCACTGATTATAAAAGTACAGTAGGTTGAGCAGCACCACTGTTGTAATACGCTAAACAGTATCTGTTCCAGTTTCTCAAGGTGTTGTTCATTATCAAAGGCATCACACCTTAAGGCACTGTTGGAAAAAAAAAACAAGCAAAAAAAACCCTCCTCGTGTCCTACCTATGTTCTGAGTGTCCTGGCTAAGATTCCAGCAGCTCAGCCTAGACATTACATCAGCATACCAGTAGCAGATAGAAAGGCAAGGGGAAAGGACAGGAATGGTTCAATCAAAATGTGAGGGTACTGGAGCGCCTGGCTGGCTCAGTCGGTGGAACGTGCAGCACTTGATCTCAGGGTTATAAGTTTGAGCCCCACACTGGGTGTAGAGATTACTTAAAAAAATTAAATTAAAAAACAAAATAAAAAACAAAGCTTGGGGGTATTATTAGACCTTACTACCTTCTCAAAACAGAGACAGCATCAAGCCCTGGGCTGTCCTACTTCAAGCACGGACACCCTCTCATACATAATCATAATGACACTAAAAATGCCAAATTACCAAGCCAGTTATGACATGATGTGTCTGTGCAGAGTATAAGACAGCAATGAAAAGTTTACATATTTCATTCTCCATTTTATTAGGGTTCAGCAAATGATTTTTGAGTCGAGTAGGGGGAAAAGATAGTATCATATTCATAAGAAATTCTGTTTCTCAACCATAGATTTCAAGTAAAACACAGCAAGTGAACCAATAATTACTAGTGAAAGCTGTGCATCTGTATATGGAGGTATTCCAACCCCTCCCCCCACCCCCACTGCCAACTGAGAACTGCCTACAGTTAGGGCCTTCAGTTCACCATTATGCAGCTACATTGCTTGACATTCTATGCTCTAAGATTTTATTCCCATCAGCCTATCTTCATATCCTTCTCTACCAGTTCCTGGAGTCCTTTCTGTTAGGAGCTAAATTCTCATGGGAAGTTAAAGCCAGATATACAAGCAGTAGGTGCCCGTTTTAATGAAAACACATCCATATTATAAGGGCCTCCGCTAGAGTGGCATGTTAAGAAAAAGTACACTAATTTTACAAATAACAAAACAAGAGCTGCCAAAAATATAAGCACCTAAGAAGACTTGGAAAGAACTGTTTTAGCATGATTTTAGCAAGCTAATTCTGACAAACATTTGCATTTAACTAAATTGGAAAACAAATGAAAATTTTAATGTCATAAGTACAGACTTTCAAACAAAATCCAAGATAAAAATTATTAATAAGGATGCCTCAGTGATTACGACTTAAGATTTCAACTAATCATAAAGAAGTATTTTTTATCTTTGTCCAGAAAACTCAGAGTAGCTGAATTCCACATAGCATCATCAGATATGTGCTTGGAAATTATCACATCATTGTTTTCTGGACTGAAATCTACTGTAGATATGTTTATGTTTAGAAAATAATTATAAGGCATGTATCATTCTAGAATACATTTGCTTACGGGTACATTCCTTCAAATCCCATACTAAAATAAAAGCGAGTTACCAGACTCTGAGGAGAATAGGAGTTGACAGCAGTGGAGCTGCCAGTCCCTGGTGCCATCTGATTGTTGTGCTGAGAATTTGTGAAGACAAGGGCTTGACCAAAGCCCTGCTGTTGGGAAGTTTCAAAGGAGCTGACTTCTGAGGCTTGACTGGGAGGAACAGGCTTCTGGAGCAAGGCTACCAGATCAATGCTAAGCAGACAAAAAGCAAATGAGGAACGAGTCAAAACCAAATCTTATCAATAATGAATTTGAGAAGTGAATCAATATAGAATAAATTCATGTTAAAAAATAATCTAAGTGAGGAAAATCTTTGGAAACTGGAGTTTAAAGGAGCCAAGAGGACAGCATTAACTAAAGAAAACAAAACAAAAAACAACAACATACAAAGCCACAGAGACTAAAGCAGGGCTTGGCAGAGAAGAGAAATGAAAAGGTGCATCAAGACAGTTCCACAGAAATAGCACAGTAACAACTGATTTGAAAACCTGGAGCAAATAAGTAAATAGACAATTTTCTAAAGTTTGGCTTATTTTCTGTAAAATATTTTCCCCCATTCATTACTCAGAACCAATGTTTCTTAAACTTGCCTCAAGGAAAGTGAATTCCTACTGTGAGAGAATGAGAACCACAGTCACAGCAGACAATTCAAGCAGTTTCCCATTTATCATAAATATCCCAGTGAGTTCTGCATTCTAAGCTATAAGTTTATATAAATCTCCAATAATTTTCTCTCTTAAATATTCAAAAAGGGGCGCCTGGGTGGCTCAGTTGGTTAAGGGTCTGCCTTCAGCTCAGGTGGGATCGAGTCCGCATCAAGCCTGCTTCTCCCTCTCCCTGCCGCTCCCCCTACTTGCGCACACTCACTCGCTCACTCTGTCAAATGAATAAAAAAATATATATAAAAAAAAATACTGAGGAAAAAATGCGCAAAATATAAAAAATGCACAAATACTCTGTTAACTACAACTCTTGTAATGTCCCCAGAAGAAGAGATATCACGGCCTGAAAACCTAAAAGCATGAGGAAGAACTAATCTTCTAGATCTATACTACCTGACATGTGAGTGAGCTACTAACTCTTCTCCACAGAACTGCAAGGTGCTCAAGATTAACTAACATGGTAATTTGTTCCATTAAACCCTCTCAAAGGCCAGTTTCCAGTTTTCCTGTCTGAAATGTTCACCATGCAGGTGAGGCAGATTCTGGAAGGTCAAATAATTCACGGCCCACTAATATCTGATAGAGTGAAGTTCCTAGGCCTGACTTCCTCTCCTTATGTACTACCCATTCTTACTTTTCCATAACCAGGTTGAAGTCCCAGACTAGTATTTTGGATCCTGAGGTAATTGTTCTAACTTATGATATCCTAACTCCAGGGATATAAATCCAGGGTAGTTATATTACATATAACCTATCTCAAAAGCTACATTATCAGAAAAAACACAGGACGTTCTATTCTAAAAGATTGACAGGATATTCACCTAAAAACACTACAGCACTGTTTTCTGAAAAATAACCATTAAAGTCTTTTTTTTTTTTTTTAAATGCCCTCCCATGCCCAATTGTGACCTCTGATCCCATCCTTTCCCTCCTGTTTCAGTGAGTAGGGGAGGGGACATTTTTTTTAATGAAAATGATCCTATGAAATTGAATAATGAATACAATAAGGAAGTTATATCCATTTAATAAATTCTGAGCAATTCACAAAACCTTTGTTCATTTTTATTTCCCTATAATGAAGTCTTATAACCATCTCATTTAGCAGGAAATTAAGCGTGTCAGGTTCAAAATTTCCTTCAATTCTCAGGGGTCATACATAGAAAGGCTTTCATCCTCCTAGATCATTGCATTTTGAAACCATAATCAAAGGTTTTCTGAGTTATTGTAGACACTAGGATGTAAATAAACACTTTTCAAGAATTCAGTACTGGGGGCGCCTGGGTGGCTCAATTGTTAAAGCATCTGCCTTCGGCTCAGGTCATGATCTCAGGGTCCTGGCATCGAGCCCTGCATTGGGCTCCCTGCTCCACGGGAAGCCTGCTTCTCCCTCTCCCACTCCCCCTGCTTGTATTCCCTCTCTCACTGTGTCTCTCTCTCTGTTAAATAAATAAATAAAACCTTTAAAAAAAAAAAAATTCAGTTCTGTACATACTAATAATGTTTCTATTTTTCTGAAAATTCCTTCCTTTTCTGTAATCTAAGAGACTAGATGAAAACTAGTAGAGCCCACAGTCGTTAAGCGGCTGCCTTCGGCTCAGGTCATGATCCCAGGGTCCTGGGATCGAGCCCCAGATTGGGCTCCCTGCTCGGCGGGAAGCCTGCTTCTCCCTCTCCCACTCCCCCTGCTTGTGTTCCCTCTCTCGCTGTCTCTCTGTCAAATAAATAAATATCTTAAAAAAACAAAAAAAACTAGTACAGCCCATATAAAATGAGAAGTTTGTATTAGCCTTAGAAGATCTAAATAGGGCGCCTGGGTGGCTCAGTCGTTAAGCGTCTGCCTTCGGCTCAGGTCATGATCCCAGGGTCCTGGGATCGAGCCCCAGATCGGGCTCCCTGCTGGGCGGGAGGCCTGCTTCTCCCTTTCCCACTCCCCCTGCTTGTGTTCCTGCTCTCGCTGTCTCTCTCTGTCAAATAAATAAAATCTTAAAAAAAAAAGATCTAAATAAATGGTATTATACACAGAAACCAAAGGATATTTGGTATTAGGTTCATCTGTCAAAAAACAATATATTTATAAAAGTAAAAAAGAAAAACCACTAAATAAGTTTAAAATTATTAAATAAGCTTAATATTATTAAGCCAGCCTGGCTGGCTCAGTCAGTGGAACCTGCAACTCTTGATCTTGGGGTTGTGAGTTTGAGCCCCACACTGGGTAGAGATTACTTTAAAAAAAAGTCTTTAGGGACGCCTGGGTGGCTCAGTCAGTTAAGCAGCTGCCTTCGGCTCAGGTCATGATCCCAGGGTCCTGGGACAGAGCCCCACATCGGGCTCCCTGCTCGGCGGAGAGCCTGCTTCTCCCCCTCCCTCTGTCTGCCGCTCTGCCTACTTGTGCTCTCTATCTCTGTTAAATAAATAAATAAAAATCTTTAAAAAAAAAAAAAAAGTCTTTAAAAATAAGTTAAATAAAATAGGTTTAACATAATATCTATCACAAATGATAACAAATCAGAAACATAATCGCTATTTTAATTCATGAGAGAATATAATAAATTAGAAAATGATAGAGGCTCTGTCAGCTCACAAAGAAGGTTAGGGATAAAACAAAATCTTAGAAGGGCAAAAGGTAAAAACAGAAAGAGATTCAAGCAAAGGAAAAAAACAGAGACCTAAGACCCAAAACAAATTTCCTGAGCAAGAAATTTAAATTATGCTTTGAACAACAAACAAAAGGTGAAAGAAATTGTTTACCTTTGCCCAGGTGTGACATGATTCTCTGCTGGAACAGCTGAGGCAGTGAAGACCTTTGTTTCAGAAAGCTGTTTGGAAAGGAATAAAAAAAATACTTTGCTTTTATTTTATAGAACATAAAACCAGAAATGTATCAAATTCCTGACAATTTTAGTCACCAGTACTCTTATTATACTTCACCCAAAAGTAGTCTGAAAGAAAGGAAATACATTAAGTGATCATGACAAGTAATATTCTTCAAGTGAAGGTAATTTTAGATTGGCAAACCCATAAAAAGGATTTCATATCAGGGAAAGAATAAAGTTAAGTCAGACCAGGGTTTAAGTCCTAGTCACACTACTCTATTTGACATTACACAAAATGAGAATACCACTAAAACCACCACAAATGCCAAACGTTTGAAAAAGGGCAAAAAATTGACATTTTCTTTCCCCCAAAACAGATAGTTTCAGTATTTTTTTTTTTAAAGATTTTATTTATTTATTTGAGACAGAAAGAATGAGACACAGAGAGCATGAGAGGGAGGAGGGTCAGAGGGAGAAGCAGACTCCCTGCTGAGCAGGGAGCCCGATGCAGGACTCGATCCCGGGACTCCAGGATCATGACCTGAGCCGAAGGCAGTCGCTTAACCAACTGAGCCACCCAGGCGCCGTCAGTATTTTAATAGTAATCTGTGTTTCTTTTTTATTAAGTCATAGGTTTCCCTGTTTTTGTATAAAAACAACTTTGTTGAGGTTATATCACATTCAATAATCTGCAAATGCTCAAACCGAATAATTGAAGTTTTATCATATGAATATGCCCATGAAACCATCACAAAATCAAGACAATGAACATACTACCCCAAAAGTTTGCTCCAGTCCCTATGTAATCAATCCCTTCTACCACTTACCTTAGTCCCCACGAAACCACCAATGTGTTTTCTGTCACTGTAGATAAGTGTTGTAATTTCTAGAACTTTAAGTGGAATTTTAAAATATGCACATTTTTTTTGGTCTGGCTTTGTTCAGTGAATACAATTATTTTAGATTTATACATATGGTCTAAATGCCCTTTCAAAGTTTTAAGGAGCCCAGGATAAGATTTTTTGAAACCTCAACTCACATTATTGAAAGGTAGGCTCTTTTCACATTTTCAAAGCAGAGTATGAGCTATTAAAGGCTGAAAAATGTTGACCTAATGAGATAATGTCAGAAATCGCAGAAAATTCTTTTCAAAAAGGCTGCTATAATACTTATCAACTCTAACAGTCTCAAACTCTGAAACACTGTATAAAAATCAGGTTGACTCACATATTAATATTCTGGCAGGGACAGAGCAGCCGGTAGGTGCTCATTATCTATAAAAACAAATAAAAAGTGCTGAATAGATTGCTGTTTCAACAAGAAGGGCGTTCACTGCACCCTGTTCCAAGGTAGTATCTTACAGAGCTCCCAAGGAATCCATTTTTGCTTTAACTCTATTTAATATGTAAGATTCTATAAGACACAGAGAAAAGCAATAAAGGAGTAACTGAAAAGCAATGGTAGAGTAGATCCAAAGCCACAAAAATATTAATCAGTTCAAAGCAAATGAGAACCACATTAATTACTGACATCCTATTTAACCCTGGCAGAATAAAGAAAATTAAATGGTTTCCTCCTTCTCTATTGTCTAAAAAAAGGAGAGGGACAACTGCTGGCTCAGTCAGTAAAGCATGTGACTCTTGATCTCAGGGTCGTGAGTTCAAGCCTCAAGCGTGTAGAAGCTACTTAAAAATAGAATCTTGGGGAAAGGGCGCAGGGTTTGAAACATGGCTGACGACATGGACCAGCAACAAACTACCAACACCATAGAAGAGCTCAGCCTGGATGAGCGAATTTATGTGAAAATGAGAAATGACAGAGAGCTTTGAGGCAGACTACATGCTTATGATCAGCATTTAAATACGATATTGGGAGATGTGGAAGAAACTGTGACTACTATAGAAATTGATGAGGAAACATATGAAGAGATATATAAATCAACAAAACGGAATATTCCAATGCTTTTTGTCCAGGGAGATGGTGTGTACTAGTTGCCCCTCCATTAAGAATTGGGCTGAAACAAAGAATTTATCATGTATGGAATATAGGAGCTTTTGTATGATTGTCTCTTTAAATGTAGAAACCTGTGTAAAATTTGATATTAAGAAATGACCAAGGATTCTTCTACTCCTGAAATGAGTTGATTTGCGGATAACTAAAAAAATTTTTTTTTATTATTTTTTTTAAAGATTTTATTTATTTATTTGACACAGAGAGAGAGAGAGAGAAAGCACAAGCAGGTGGAGTGGCAGGCAGAGGGAGAGGGAGAAGCAGGCTCCAGAAGAAGCAGGCTCCCTGAGGAGCAGGGAGCCAGATGCGGGGCTCGATCCCAGAACCCTGGGATCATGACCTGAGCCGAAGGCAGTCGCTTAACCAACTGAGCCACCCAGGCACCCCGATAACTAAAAAATTCTTAAGCTAAAGGGCATTTTAATTTTTTTCCAACCCTTTCAATAAATGTACAAGATGCAGAACCTTTTTTCAGGAATTGATTTGTTCTGTTTTTTTCAGGCAATTTCTGATTTTTTTTCCTTTAAATTAAATTTGATGTTTCCTTTTTTGATAAAAAATAAAATCTTAAAAAATTATGTAAAAAGTAAGCATTCTCATATTTCAAATGACACACACATTTTAAAATTGGTAAAAAGAAAAATAACAGAAGAAAATACATAAAAATTATTTAAAGTGGCTGCCCTTAGGGGCAGCCTGGCTGGCTCAGTCAGTAGAGCATGCAACTCTTTGATCTCATGGTTGTAGGTTTGAGCCCTATGCTGAAAGCAGAAATTAATTATGGAGAAATTAAAGGGGAAAAAAGGAGTAGGGAGGGAAGGGTTAGTAGTTATTCCTGTTTTTGTTGACTTTTTTTTTTTTTTAAAGATTTACTTATTTATTTGAGAGACAGAAAGTGTGGGGGCCAGGGGGTGGGGGGTGAGAATCTCAAGAAGACACCCTGCTGAATGTGGAGTCCAATGTGGGGCTCGATCTCACCACCCTGAGATCATGACCTGAGCCAAAATGAAGAGTCGGACACTTAATCAACTGAACCACCCAGGAGCTCCAATAGTTACTGTTCTAAGCTCTACAAGGAATTTTCAATTTGCACCATGATTACTCATGGATCAATCACCATTATTTTATATAATCTCAGAAAAGTCTTAAATTTTCTTGATAATTTCTGAGAAAAGACATCCAAATTTCCTATGCTAATTCTTTTCACTAATTACAAATTATACTGTGGTATAATATGGGTTCTCCAGAATATTAATCTCTATGGGTGTATATTTGAACTGCTTATTAACAACATTCATTGAACAACCTCATCTGACCCACAGAACAATTAACAGAAAGTTAGGCAGGACAACGATTATGATATTCATTACACTGATAGAAAAGAGAAGGCTCAGTAAGGAAAGATGCATCACTCAAAGTCAACAGGTCAGCTCAGCTACAATTTGAATAAAGGCCTTTTTCATTTTTTTTTTTAAGATTTTATTTTTATTTATTTGAGGGGGAGAGAAGGGGAGAGAGCAAGCAAGAGTACAAGGGAGGGGGTGGGAGAAGCAGACTCCTCGCTGAGCAGGGAGCCCGATGCAGAGGTCAATCCCAGGATGCTAGGATCATGACAGGAGTCGAAGGTAGCCGCTTAACCAACTGAGCACCCAGGCACCCCATGGTCTTTTGCATTTTGATCCCCTGCTGATTTTCTAAACTGCCTGATGACCCAGACAGGAGCCAAAGAGATCTAAAGCTTCTAGCACTGGGAATATCTTTTTCCCCAACAAACTCTTAGCAAAAATTCAAGTAACAAACATATTTAAAAGTTGGACAAGTGCCCACAGGCTGCTCACTCTGTCTTCATCACTGGTACCCATCCCTCCACTGATTCAACTAACCACCCATCTAATCCAGCATCTTCATATTACCAGTACCACAGAGCCTGATGACATCATACCCCAAAGATTTATGGTTAGTATATGGCAGAAGTTAATATATACCTTAAATCTCAATCAAATGAGCATCTCTACTGTCTTTCTTCTTTATACTTTACCCAGTTTGCTCACTAACAAACCAGATATAATACTGCTTCGCAGCAGGACAGAGGTGGCATAACTGTAGTTGATTTCTTTAAAAACATACTTGTAGGGGCGCCTGGGTGGCTCAGTGCTTTAAGCATCTGACTTCCGCTCAGATCACGAACTCAGATGTCCCTCTCCCTGTGCCCCTCCGTTTGTGCGCTCTCTCTCAAAAAAAAAATAAGATTTTTAAAATACATATACTTATAAAATAATAAATAAAAATACACTTGTTAAAACAGAATGGTAAAGGGGGGGCGGAAATCTCAAGAAAAAATTTTCAAAGTCTGGGTCACTTTATGTGATATTAAAGGTCAATACTTGAAGGGCACCTGGGTGGCTCAGTCGTTACGCGTCTGCCTTTGGCTCAGGTCATGATCCCAGGGTCCTGGGATCGAGCCCCGCATAGGTCTCCCTGCTCCGCGGGAAGCCTGCTTCTCCCTCTCCCACTCCCCCTGCTTGTGTTCCCTTTCTCGCTGTGTCTCTCTGTCAAATAAATAAATAAAATCTTTTTAAAAAAAGGTCAACACTTGGGGCACCTGGCTGGCTCAATTGGTAGAGCATGCAACTCTTGGGTCTTGGGTTCATGAGTTTGAGCCCCATACCGGACGTAGAGATTACTTAAAAATTAATAAATTTAAAACCCATCATTTAAATAAATAAAGGTTGATACTTATAACCCCTTTATCTCTTCCGCACACTGTTCATGTACATACACATGTTCTGGCGCTTGAGAGTCAAAGAGAAAAATGGTATAAAATATGGTATAGGGCTACTTGTTCAGTTACATTTTCTTTTTTAAATATTTTTTTAATCAAAGAATATCTTATGCTGAACCCAGAGTTATAGATCAACACTACCAGAGTTAGTGTAGTACACTCAAAAATGTCTATGGAATAAATGAATATAAAAAGAGCTAGTCTAGTTTTAAAAAGAAGGGGTTGGGCCTAGAACCAGAATCACTTATTCAGGTTAATTTCAGCTGTGACCCAAACACTGACTGATCTCCATTAATAAAAATTCTATAAAAAATAAACAGGTCAGGGCGCCTGGGTGGCTCAGTTGGTTAAGCGACTGCCTTCGGCTCAGGTCATGATCCTGGAGTCCCTGGATCGAGTCCCGCATCGGGCTCCCTGCTCAGCAGGGAGCCTGCTTCTCCCTCTGACCCTCTCCCCCTCTCATGTGCTCTCTCTCTCTCATTTTGTCTGTCTCAAATAAATTTAAAAAATCTTTAAAATAAATAAATAAATAAATAAAAATAAACAGGTCAGTGGGCGCCTGGTTGGCTCAGTCATTAAGCGCCTGCCTTCAGCTCACATCATGATCTCAGGGTCCTGGGATCGAGCCCCGCATCGGGCTCCCTGTTCAGTGTGAAGCCTGCTTCTCCCTTTCTCCCTCTCCCACTCCCCCTGCTTATGTTCCCTCTCTCGCTGTATCTGTCAAAGAAATAAATAAAATCTTTAATAAACAAACAAACAGGTCAGGCAATAGCAGCACTTGGTTATCAGAACAAACAAGGGGTGCCCAGCCCAGGTGGCTCAGTAAGTCAAGCATCTAACTTTGGCTCAAGTCATGATCCCGGAGTCCTGGGATCGAGTCTCACATCGGGCTCCCTGCTCAGCAGGGAGCCTCCTTCTCCCTCTCTCCCTCTGTCCGCCCCCACTGCTTCAGCACTCTCACTCTCAAATAAATAAAATCTTTAAAAATTAAAAATTTTTTAAATTTTTAAAAGAACAAACAAAAGATAAGCTAAAAAAATGATTTCAGTCCTGTTTTACAATTGGTCATTTTTAAGTGGATGCTTTAAAACCAAGTTTCTTAAAACTCTCAAAACACCAACCTCCTTCTGAGACGCACTTGCTAAAAAACATGATAATCATAGATGTCTGAAAAGGAGCCATGAACAACTCAAGATGTCTCCAGCTTTCTTCAAGGAATGCATGCCCCAATCAGAAACCAAAAGGAGAAGGATCTAATCTGATGCTAAATACTTACATCTTCAGTCCAGTCGTCTGTTGTCCACTCTTCCACAGAATTCTTCCAGGTTCCTGTTGACAATAATCATAGTTTACATCACAAAGCCAAATACTATCTTACTGCAAATAATTCTCTGTTGTATACTGCACAAGATGTGTCATGTATCTCATTAGTAATTTAGTTTACAATCCAAGAAATATGAAGCTCCTGATCTATTCTCAGTAAAATGTCATGTTCTCATATACCAACTTAGCTAGGTACTATCCACATAACCTCAAAGCAATTTCTGAAACTGATTTTGCATCAGTGTAGATCATATTCAAGCAATTCTGCCATAAGTACGAACACAGCACAAATACACACAATGAGATCCTTATGATATATAAAACTTAGAACAAAATTATGAAGCGGTCTGCCTTGGACCCTAATTTCATGTAGATTACAGAGTTTCTAAATTTATACAAGCATCCTTTTTATAAGATATTTATTCCATTCTATGGTTTTCTAATAGATCCCCAGCAAAGGTTAGTCCTGTTCACATGAAGTATGGTGCTGTAACTCCTGATTAGGTACAAAGGATCTGCGCAAACAATTGTTACAGAACAAACATCTATCAAATAATTAAGTGCTTTAAAAAGAAAGCATTTGTGGTGGCATCTGGGTGGCTCATTTGGTTAAGCCTCTGTCTTCAGCTCAGGTCATGATCCCGGAGACCTGGGATCGAGCCCTAAGTCAGGCTCCATGCTCAGCGGAGAGTCTGCTTCCCCCTCTCCCTCTGTCCCTTCCCCTGCTCCTTCTCTCTCTCTCACTCTCAAGTAATAATAAAATCTTTAAATTTTTTTTTAAAGATTAAAAAAAAAAAAACCATGTGTCCAGAAATGCTGACTTTAGTATTCAGAGATCCTGTATAAGTACAGGACCATTATTTTAAAATACACATGCAAATACACACCCAGAGAAAATGGTTTTAAAAGAAAATATACCAAGATATCAACTATAACTACCCCCAGGAAGTAAGACTGTCAATGTTTTCGTTCCTTCCAACAGGAAGAAATGAGCTGAGCATCTGACCTACAATGAAGTCTGTGTGTAGAGAGGGCAAAAGGAAGAGAAGGGAACACTCTTGAGAAAAAAAGGCAGGTAACCAGATCTCATCTCCTTGGAATCAGGTCAATAACCTCATAACCAACTGCCTCATAAATAAATAGATGTTATTACCTAGGAATAGAGTCCTTCTCTATGGAATCTTTTGATTGGATATCCCTAGTTTAGGACTGGTTATGGCAAACACAGAATTGATGCATTTATGCAGTATGGCTCCCTATAAAATATCACCTAAGATATGCTACTACTTGGGAGATTTTTTTAAACGTGCGAAAATTCCCTGCTGTCAGAAACCTACACACATCACTGATAGACTTTATCTATTATTGTGGATCATAGGGCATATATATTATAGGAAGGAAGAATGGCAATACAGGCACTCATTGTTCTTCTGTGCTTCTCAACTGCATGTATCCTTGAAATAACTGTAAAGATTCATAGAGAAAGATCTAAACTGACAATCTGATCCTTTGTACTGGTTTACTCACCATACTTTTTTTTTTTTTTTTTAGATTTTATTTATTTATTTGACAGAGCACAAGTAGGTAGAGAGGCAGGCAGAGGGAGAGGGAGAAGCAGGCTCTCCACTGAGCAGGGAGCCTGATATGGGACTCGATCCCAGAACCCTGGGATCATGACCTGAGCCAAAGGCAGCCGCTTAACCAACTGAGCCACCCAGGCGCCCCCTCATACCTTTTAATGGTTTCCATAATTTTTCCACAAATGTCATAAAACAAATATCCCAAAACATCTCTCTGAATTAAAATATTTTCTTAAAACTAGAAAAAAGTTATAGCCTAAGTGAAAAAACAAAACATGCAATTAGTCCCAGTCGGAAATCAGTACTGAAAACTTGTTCTCTAAGACCTCTGCACCGACTTCTTGGAGATCACCCTGTACACAAATCTTAATAAATCTAAGGCAAGCCATGTACATACTCTCCACTCTTACATTCCTTCTACAATGTGACTTTCTTCTAGGTACTAATAATACATAATCTCCAATCTTTGAATATATCTCCTTCGAAACTTCTCTAAGTAAATTTATAGTTTTAAAAGGACACAATTAAAGAATGGACAGTACACACTGTTCTTGGTGCCACCTCCATGCAACCTACCATATGCTCACGCTGTCAAATTCATCGTAAGAAACAGTATTCTAAAGATTAGCAGATTCTGGGGTACCTGGGTGGCTGAGTCGTTAAGCGTCTGCCTTCGGCTCAGGTCATGATCCCAGAGTCCTGGGATCGAGCCCCACATCGGGCTGGCTCCCTGCTCGGCGGGAGGCCTGCTTCTCCCTCTCCCACTCCCACTGCTTGTTACCTCTCTCACTGTGTCTCTCTCTCTGCCAAATAAATAAATAAAATCTTAAAAAAAAAATGATTAAGAAATTTTATGAAAAGCTGAGGCTCAACCTAAGCAGCTTAGTTTTAGGAACATTCTAATCAAGAAACAGAAAACAGGGGCACCTAGCTATCTCAGTCTGTAGAGCATGGGACTCTTGATCTTGGGGTTGTAAGTTTAAGTCCCACACTGGATGTTGAGATTACTTAAAAATAAAATCTTAAAAAAAAACAAAACTTGAAAGTTGGAAAATACTAGAAAGATAAAAAGAAGGGATATCCCAAAGGAGAAAAATAACGATGAAGCATTAAAAAGCCTTCTATATAAAATATTAAAAGTATCCTAAAGTTTACAACATACCTTTTTTTTCCCAAAATTTTTAAGTTGTGGTAAAATACTCATAAAATTTAGTCTTGTGATCATTTTTAAATGTACTCTGTGGTATTAAGTTAAAGCACACTTTCATACACATGATGTAAAGAGATTGGACTAACACTTAAGAGACAGGGGTATTTTGAAAATAATTAAAACACGAATTTAGACATGTAGAATACAGTCAGAATGTGAGTACATTTACTAACTGGCAGAAGACCATATATGTAGTCACAAGCAGAAGTGCAACATGGTAAAGTGGTTATGTCAGGCAACAGAGGGGATAGCCCCTTATCAGAAATCAGGGCCAACTGTTGCAGTAACCCACCCTAAATACATAGACTATAAAATTATGAGACATTACATAGAGACGAATTTGGTTCAAGTCCTAATCCTACTGTAAAATATTAGAATTTTACAGTAAGACTTTGGTCTCCATTATAGACCTATAAACCTACACCTCAAACTATGGGAAAATGTCAGTAACAATTTATTTTCAGCTCATAACAAATTTGAGATGCATGCTTTATGTTCAACTTAACTTGATGTTAGCCCTCTATCAAAAGCATACATAAGGCAGCCACACAGGAAAAAGGAAAACAATGAGTTAAAAACCTGTGCTGTCTTGAAGGCCAATCTATAAAACACTTCCATAATCAAAAGTTGATATTTAATCAAGTAGTTGTAAAAATACAGTTTTTACAATTATACGAGGTTTTCTTAGCTAGCCTTGATTAAAATGGAAGATACTATAAGCATTTTAGGAGATTTTTTTCTTTTTAAAGTAAGCTCTGTGCCCAACATGCTGCTTGAACTCATGACCCCAAAATCAAGTCGCGTGCTCTGCAGATTGAGCCAGCTAGGCACCCCCATTTTAGTAGATTTGTAACTAAGGGAAATTTTTCAATTAAAACAATACCTTTGAGTCCATAAAAATTTTTGTTTGGCAGATCCTGAGCTACAATATGAACATTTGATGCCAGTTCTGCAGATCAATGTACAAGGGAAGGTCTTAACATATTAAATTAATGAAGGTATTCATCAAAAGGAAAACAGGTCAGCAACTTAAATAGAGAAAGTAAAGCGTCAAAGCTATGTCTACGCTGTGCATCAGAGAAGAAAACTTACTGCAATCCATATTGTGACAGCCCACTGTGACTCAACTATAAATCTTATTATTAGCCAGATGGCCTCTGAACATTCAACTGCATCAACTACCCTTGTTCATATTCCCATGTTCATCAAACTCCCTTCCCACTTGTCAAGAGCATTCCAATGTTTAACAAGTTATGTTTAGTATGTTTAAATTTAATAAATTAGCATTCTGACTACCCTTCAGTCTTTCTACTTTGGTTAATGGAAGTCTGCTCTAAGGAATGGATTTATTATCCTGTCAAAAGTCAGGTTTCTGAGCCTATAATTATGGCTGAGGGCCAGACTTGGAACTCTGGTTTTCAACAAGACAATGCCACTCTATGACGCTCCTAGAGAAATACCCAGGCTCTATCAACGGAATCCTTTAACTGTATTTTGCATTAAACATGTTTGCTTATTTTTTAGCAAGGAATCGGCTACTCTAAATGAGAACGAGGAGAAGGAGGGAGAAGAGATAGACACAAGACAGAAAAGAACAGGAGGCAGAATGAGAAAAAAGAAAAGTAACAGTTAATCAACTAATTCAACATTGTTTCAACACCTGATTTCAAAATCAATAAAGGTTATGAATAAAGCTGCTTTACATTCTGTGCAGGTTTTTGTGTGGCTATGTTTTCATTCCTCTTCAATAAAAAACAAGGGTTGGGGCGCCTGGGTGGCTCAGTTGTTAAGCGTCTGCCTTCGGCTCAGGTCATGATCCTAGGGTCCTGGGATCGAGCCCCCATCGGGCTCCCTGCTCTGCAGGAAGCCTGCTTCTCCCTCTCCCACTCCCCCTGCTTGTGTTCCTGCTTTCACTGTCTCTCTCTGTGTCAAATAAATAAAATCTTTAAAAACAAAAACAAAAACAAGGGTTGGGATTGTTAAGACTATGTCGTGAATGTACGCTTTCACACCAGGAATGTATGAGTTCCGGCTGTTCTGCCACCTTCATTAATACTTAGTACTGTCAGTTTCCTTCTACAGCCATTTTTGTTTTGATTTTGTTTTTTTTTTTTAAGTAACTTCTACACCCAACATAAGTCTTGAACCTACAACCCCAAGATCAAGAGTCGCATGCTCTACTGACTGAGCCAGTCAGTTGCCCCTCTAAAGCCATT